TTGGTTGTGGTTGTGGAGATTGTGGTTGTTGTTGTTCTTCTTCTTGTTGTTGTTGTTTTTCGTATGCATCCATATCTTGAAATAGTTTTCTATAATTGGGGATTGATGCAGTACGTTTTGGTTGTGGTGATTGTGGTGATTGTGGTGATTGTGGTGATTGTGGTGATTGTGGTGGTTGTGTTGATTGTGTTGATTGTGGTGGTTGTGGTGGTTGTGGTGGGTTAATGTTGGTATTGGTGTAGTATTTTGAGATAAAAAATAAAAATAAAAAAAAGGAGATAGCTCCAACTATTGAAAAAATCATTTTAACTTTTTTTTTTTTTTTTTTAATGAAATATGGTTTGTAAAAAATTGATTATAAACAAAGGTTATTTCTACTATTTACAAAAAAAAAAAATAAGATTATTATATTAATGAAAGTGTGAGTGTGAGTGTGAAGAAAAAAAAAAATTTTAATAAATTTTAATAAATTTTAATAAATTTTAATAAATTTTTAAAAAAAAAAAAATTTTAAAATTTAAAAATTAAAAAAATAAAAAAAAATTGATTTAATTTAATAGAAGTTCAATTAAAAAAAATTTTAATTATGATTATTATTAATTATAATTAACAAAAACATATTATTATTTTTTATTATATTCCGAGTGAAATTCATTATTATATATATAAATTTTGTGAAAATTAAAAAATATTAATGAAGTTTTTTTGTTATAATAAAAATTAATAATTAAAAAAAATATAAATTTTTTATTTTTTTCAAAATTTCTATATACCTTAAATATAATGATTTATTTCACTCTTTAAAATCCCTAATGGTCCATTATTTAAAAGTAAATATAATATACATCACAATACAAATTTTATTTTCTTTATTTTTATATAAGCTAATAGAAAAGGCCAAAACAGCAACATTCTGGACTCAAATAAAAAAACACACTGTATATTATAATAAATTTCACTCATTTAAAATTTAAATAAAACTAAATTTTTTAATTAAATAAAAAATGTAACACATTTTTTACCTTTTTATAAAACATCAATCACTTTATTTAATTTTAAAAAATATTTTTTTTTTTTTATAAATTTTTTTTTTTTTTCTTTTTATTAATTTTTATTATTTCATATAATTATTTTAATATTACTAAATTTTAATTTCACTAAAAATTAAAGCTTTATTTCTTATAGGAACAAAGTAAAAGAGTATGTGGATTAACACTAATGCAAAATAACAAAACAGGGTTATAGAGGTACTTTATAAGAAAAAAGAATTTTATCTGGTGATGTGTTTCTTTTACAATTGCTTTATTGATATGACACAATTATCTACCTATTATTATAAAATAATGATCATAGAGGTGATATTTATTCCAGTTAAAAATAATATTTCGAATAAAAAATAAATTATATAATAAAATTTAAATTATTTTTTTTTAAAAAAAATATTTGGACTTTTTTTAAATACTGTGGGTGGTTATAACCCCCTATTCTTTTTTAATCCCCACATATTAATTTCTTTTTGGGGGAAATTTCCTTTTTTTTTTTATTTTTTTTAAATTTTAATATTTTAATATTTTAATTTTTTAATTTTTATTTTTTTAATTTTTTTGTTGCAACTCAAAAGAAACTTTTTTTTTTTTTTTTTTTCTTTATTTTTTTAATATTCAAATAATAATATACATTTATTTATTTATTTATTTATTTATTATAATATTCTATTCAATAATTTTTTATATAAATAGTATTATTTTCAGCACCATCAAATAGTTTCCCAATCACCATTCACTCTAATCTACAGTATAATATAATTGCTTGTAAATATTTCATTTATTATATACATAATATATGATTTTATTTATAATTATTTGTTATATAAAGATCAACATGAAATATAAATTAAAAAAAAAAATTATATAAAAATTAAAAAAAAAAAATAAAATAAAATAAAATAAGAAAAGACTATGTTTGTAATATCTTTATTAAATATTCTACGAATATGATAATGTAGAGCATAATTGATTGATCTAAAAAAAGATGATGCGTAGTTAAAATACAGGACTTGTGGATGAATAAAAAATAAATTTTAAGTTTTTGAGTTTAACCAACGAATATGATTTTAAAATATCTTTTTTAAATGCTTCTGATAATAATCACTATTATTAGAACCTTTGTTTGGATTAACTTCACGATTTTGATTTTAAAACCAGTGGTTGCAATTGATTTAAATGTAGCAACTTTTTCGTCTCTTTCATCAATTTTACTGACTTTATAATAAACATTAAGCTCAATTGCAATCCAACTTCTATAATCTTTTAATGTATCTTTGAGCAATCTGTTAATATTGCTCCTTGAGGAATCTGAAATTGTTGCCAACCAACCTTTATTTAAACTATCTTTGGAAAAAATGCACTATCACCAACTAAATGAAATTTAAGATCTTTATACTTTCTAATACATGACCAACACTACATGAGTGATTAATTTCATTATCTAACTTGTTTCAAAACTCTATAATAAATGGATATTTGAATTCTTTAAAAGACCCTCTTTTAGATTGTGATACTGGGCTTTTTTAGGGGATGTCAAATGATGAATAAGTTCTAAAAAGGTTCAACCATAAATCTTAAGAGACCATTTGCATGAGGTTTACGAGGTATACACAAAATTGGAGATTTATTATTATCTTGAATATATTTCTCTTTTGAGTCTGAATCTAAGATCTATTTTTATATTGTTTCATCAAGGGTGCAAACTTTAATTCCTTCTACCAAATCATAACTAATATCACTCATTTCACCTGCAATTCTTTTAATTTGATCATCTGTAAATTTTGCTGTTGATTGAACCGAATAGAATCTGTCTCTTTCATTTTTGTATTACTATGATTTATAATTTATTGAAATAAAACAAACTTATAACCTCTTCTATTGATATTCCATAATGTTTATTTTCAAGTCTTGCATACATATCACTATCAATCGAAAAGAGTTCTTCAGATACAATTTTCCTCGACTTTGATTTAATTCATTTATTGTTTTTCTTTAATTGATAGTATTCATTTTATAAAGTTGTTGATAATTATAATGATAATAATTTTAAAAAAAAAAATTTTAAAAAAAAAACCCAAATAAAAAAATAATATTCTCTAAAAATTAATTTAAAATAAAATTTGTTAAACTTACAACCATTTTTGCGTATACACTAATTTAATATTGATTTATTTTTTCCTCTGCTAAATTTTTATCACTTCCGCGATATGCCTCATCTACATCAATAATAAAGATCAAAAGTATTTAAATATTTTTTAAATAATGCAAATATTAACAATAATTAAAATAATATTAAAGTTTAACATTCATTTTCTTTTATTTAGTTTTTTTTTTTTTTTATATTTTATTTTATTTTCTTTATATATTTTATTTTATTTGTTGTTTTATTATATGTTGTAGTAATAATAAAAATGATGCAGAATAACCATAATGATTAACTTTTAAATAGTAGTTTTCATCTTTTTTAAATTGGTTGATTTCTTTTATTATTTCTACTAAATTTGTGATATAGTTATTTTCGTATAGATATTCAAGAACATTGCATTTATGATGGATATAAACATTTTCCATAATTTGTTGAAATTCCTTTGAATCTATTTTGAATCTGTATGATGGGAATGCTGATTGAAGTGTTTTGAGTAGTTTTATATTTCCATCAAAAAGAGTTCTTTTAAATAATGCATCGATTTTATAACCTTTGAAAGGAATTTCAATTTCTTCATATTCTTCCTTTCGATTTTGATATTCCTCAAATCCATATCTAAACTCCTCCTCCTCGTCATAGTCTTCATCCAGATATGATCCATCATCTTCCTCGTCATATAACCCATATGACCCATCATCTTCCTCTTCTTCTTCGTCATATTCTTCCTCTGAATCTACTTGAGAGTAATATTCATCTTCTTTATTTTCTTTTTCATTTTCGTTTTTGTTTTTGTTTTCATTGTAGATGTAATTTGTGATGAAATCAATCTTCTCTTTGATTATGTATTCTAATAAAAAAAAAAGGTGGGTGTTGTGACTGTTTGATAAAAGAATAATTATAAATTTCTTTTTACTTTCTATTGATATAAAATAGTGTTCCCAAATAAATTCAAATATATCAAATCTTTCACAACAAACTTCTATTACTCGATGTAAATTTCCAAAAAAAAATGATTCGATCAATGGTGTAAATAATTTTTCAAACCATTCAAATGGAATTGCTTTATCAAATAATTTATAAAATGAAATTGATGGGACGACTCCTAATTTTCTACCGCCTTCTTTGACTAAATCCAAAACTTGTTTATATCTACGATTTTGAAATAATTTATCAATTTTAATTCTTTTAATTCTTTCATATATTACTTTGTCATCCTTGAATATATTACTTTCATCACTAAAATCTATGCTCGACTCGCTTGACTCGTTTGACTCGTTTGAATCGCTCAAATCGCTTGAATCTTCCTTTTCCCTAACATAAAATGGCTGCTCCTTTAATAGAAAACTATTTTGAAGTAGGTCTTTAAAATTATTATTTTTATCAAGAAGGGTTTTAATAAACTGTATACTATAGTTCTGTGAAATTGATTCCAAAAAAATTGTAATAAACTCGAAATCTTTTTTTGAATAAATGTAGTCGAAAAAATCCAAAGCTATTTCATGATTCATTACTTTTTTATTTATTTTTATGTCAAAACTACTTTCCTTTTCAAACATATAAAAGGTTTCATCTGCCTCTATCCTTTTTAAAAAAATATATGCTGCAATTGAAAATTTTGAAACTGAAAATTGTCTTAGTATTTTTTTAACAAAATCCCTGTTTTTGTCGGTGCCATAAGTGTTTATGTCTTCGATTTCTTGGAAGTTTCCTTTCTTTAAATGATAATAAATGATGAATGGGCCTAATAGATAGATTATATCCATCTTTTTATTTAAAATTTCTTCGATTCTTTGAATAAAAGTGCTTAGCTTTTTAATGTCTCGGTTATTTGAAAGATGGATTAAAGCTGGAAGTATATGAGATGAATACTTTTTTGATGCTCTTAAAACGTATATTTTTGCATGATCTATATTATCTACACAAATCCCCACCTCGTGTAAAATTCTTAAATTGAATCCGTTTGATAATAAAAGTAAATCAATGCTTGGTACTTTCATTTCGGAGTTTATTAAAAATGGTTCTTCTCCATTTGATCTAACTTTTACTTTTGCAAGATGTTTATTTTTGACTATTAGAGACTCTAAATCGACCTTTAATTCATTCTTTATAAAATCGTATTTCTCTTGAGTTAAATTTTCGACAAGTGAATAAAAATAATTTTCAAAGTTGCAAGGATTAAAGTTCATTACTTTTAAAACACCTTCATTATCAATAATGCTACTGAAACTACCCAAATCCTTGTCAAAATTTGCTCTATTTTCATTTATTAATTGAAGTAAATATCTTGATGTCTCTATTGACCCTGATTCCAGTGATTTTTGAAATAATTCAAAAATTTTATATGATGGATGGATATTATTATTATTATCATTATTATTATTATTATTATTGTTATCGTTATTATTAAAACAATACATATTTATGAAATATTTTGTATGATTTAATGATTTAAAGGTTATTGATTTTTCTAATGGAGTAAAATTTTTTATTGTATTTTTATATTTATTAACAAATGGCACAAATAACTTTTCAAAGTCGTGATCCCATATCTGAGAAAAAACAGTGTAGTTAAAATAAATAAAATGATTAGATTTTATTTTATCTAATATCATTTCAATTTTATTTTTTTTTAACATTTTTAACATATTTGTTGTGCCATTGTAACTATGTCCTGATCTATCCCTTTTTAAAAATGAAAATATCAATGTTTTTAAAAATATGTTTCTAAAAACTTTAAAGAATATTTCATCATTATACATTTATTTATTTATTTATTTATTTATTTATTTATTTATTTATTTATTTATTTATTTATTTATTTATTTATTTATTTATTTATTTATTTATTTATTTACGTTTTTTGATAATTATAAAAAATAAAAATTAAAAAAAAAAGATTAATTAAAAAAAAAAAATTAAAAAAAAAAAAAAAAAAATTTGTTTTATTTTTAAAAATAGATTTTTATTTATTTATTTTAATATTTTTTAGAATTATAATAGATGATTGTGTTAATACCGAATATTTTAGATTAAATGCTGATAAATATATTTCTATTTCATTCTGCTTAGAGTAGTTGAAATTTTACATAGCGAATTGAAATATATTATAAATAGAAAGAAGCCAGAATGTTGCGCCGCATTAAATGACACCCAACAACCATACTCACAAGTTATATTTAGTGCAGTAATAAAAGCGAGACAACAACCTCAAAGAAAGAAAAAAACAAAAAAAGTACCAACTTTAGAAAATGCATAATCACATTTAAATACACATGAAAGCAGAGTTTAAAAATAATGTCAACCATCAAGTCTTAGATTTGTCGCAAATTAAATATAAAAGACCTCGGGTAAAGCTGTAGAGAAACAAGTTGAAAGTATACCAAGTAACCAAGTTATCGTTATTACAAATGAGTCTCAATGGGCCGAGGTTGCAGGTAAACTTTTAATCACCGAAGCTTCAACTCTAAAGACGAGATCCCATGGGAGTTATTTGCAAATATTCTTCACAGTCATATTTTAACAGCAACTCATCAATCAAAAGAGATCAAGAAAAAATCTCACAGTTGGGAATTCAAATATTCCAAAAGTTTTATTTCGATGGTAAATCCTCAATTAGCAAATCTGAATGTAAATAATTTTGGGATAAGTATAGACCAATTTTTCAAGCAATCCATTTAAGAGACATATCGCGCCATTATGGTCATCTGGTTAACGAAAAACTAAATGTTTTGGGTATTGATGTAAATAATGTATGTATATTTTTATTAATTTTTAAAAAAGAATAGTTCACTAACATAGTTTCTTAAATAGCGGTACGGGTATATCATGTATATTTCCATTGCTAGGTGTTAAATTATTTAAAAATTGGAGTTTTTTAGGATTGGATATCGATGTTAGCTCTTTAAAATTTGGAAAAAAGGCCGACAGTATTTATTTATTAAAAAGATAATTGAAGAAAGCCTTGTTTTAAAATAGAAAATCAAATTCCAATTCTACAGCTCAATGGTTGGAAGGAAAGGTAATTTAAAACCACTATTGGAGTTACTAAAGAATAATTTTGGATTACCCAATTCAAAATTTTTTACAGCAGAGTTATCTCAAGGAAATACACAAAGATGGGTTATAAGCTGGATAGTAGATGATTTTTTTTTACGATCATTTATAAATAATAATTAAAAATTAAATAATAATGATAGTAATTACGATAAGGCACCAAAAAAGACCAGCATAATTTCTTACTAATATTTGATTATTTCCTTGATGATACACTTGTTAACTGTTTTCAACCTTATCGAAATCATTAATTGAAACTTTGAATGGAAGGATAAAATTAATAATTTAGTTTTCTTCTAGTTCATAGGTGAAACAACGAAAGAAAATATAAAACTATTAATTTTATCTCCACCGATTTCAATATGAATCAATATCCATATGGTTAGCAAGGTATCGATCGGATCCATTATGATCTAAGATTTAATTTATCCATTGCTTGTTTGTGTTCACAGGAGAGTTGAACTACAGCTAATTGTTCTGATAAAAGCTTTTTTTCAAGCATTTGGATAATTTCATCTTTTTTTGATAATGTCTCTTCTAATACATTTGATTTTCTAAATTGATTTTCCAATTTAGCTTTGATTGAGTCTCTTTCTTCGACCAATTTATATTGTTCAATATCATTTCCTTGAAGGATTTGTCTTTGTTGGTTAGCTAAGGTTTGATATTGTTTAATTTCAAGTGATTGGACATTTTTGAGATTGGATAATTTTTCTAATTCACTTTTGTTCTTTTGGTCGAGGACTTCTTGTTTTTTAGCGAGAGCTGAAAGATGATCATGGTGGACTCTTTTCTCTACTTCTAATCCAGAGAGTTCATTATTTAATCTGAAAATTGTTAATGGATAGTTATTTTCTAACTCTTTATTGGCTTGTTGTTGATTTTGTTTTTTTAAATCTTCTATTTGATTTAAACATTTATATAAAAAGCCTAATAATAAACAAATGATTATGACAAAAGAGAAAGAACCAATATTTAAAAAATCCATTATTATATTATACTGTAGATTAGAGTGAATGGTGATTGGGAAATTATTTGATGGTGCTGAAAATAATACTATTTATATAAAAAATTATTTGTGATATAAATTTTATTATTGAATAGAATATTATAATAAATAAATAAGTAAATGTATATTATTATTTGAATATTAAAAAAATAATTAAAAAAAAAAAAAAAAAAAAAGTTTCTTTCGAGTTGCAACAAAAAAAAAATTATAAAAATTAAAAAAATAAAAATTAAAAAATTAAAAATTAAAAAATTAAAATATTAAAATTTAAAAAAAATTGAAATTTACCACAAAAAGAAATTAATATGTAGTGATTAAAAAAGAAAATGGGGTTATAACCACCCACAGTATTTAAATAAAGTTCAAATATTATTTTTAAAAAAGATAATTTAAATTTTATTTTATAATTTATTTTTTATTCGAAATATTATTTTAAACTGGAATAAATATCACCACTATGATCATTATTTTATAATAATAGGTTAATAAAATATCTTTTTTTTTTTGAAATTTTATTTTGAAAAGGTATGTCTTTTGATATTTGGAAAAACAAACCCTTTCGGTGTTTTGGTTTTTGAATTTTATAATTTTTTTTGTTTTTTTTTTTAAAAGTTTTTTTTTTTTTTATTCAAAACTGATGCATGCAGTTTTAAAAAAAAAAAAATATATTAATTTTTAAAAATATACACTCCAATCAATTTGAATTTTCGAAAATGTTTTTACATGGTATCTATATTATTATTATTATTATTTTTATCTTTATTTTTATTATTTTTTTGATGAAATATTAATTTTTAATTTTAATAGGTTCTAACGAATTAGGTTCAAAAAGATCAACGTTCATCTCACCTAAAAATAAAGGAGCAGCTTTTGCACCGCCCCCAACACCACCCCCACCTCCACCAACAAACAATGGTGTTAAATCATTTTCACCATAATTTTTAATTAATTTTAAATAATAAAGTTTATTAAAGAAAAAAAAAAAAAAAAAAGAGTTTTATTTATGATTTATTTGTTTTTTAATAATTCTTTGATTTTTTCTCATGATTTATAATAAAATAAAATAAATGAATAAAATAAAAAGATAAAAAGTTTGGTTTTTTTAAAAATTTTAATTAGTTTTTTTTATAAAAATATATACATTTTATTTATTTAACCACAATTATTTGATGATATTAAACCACCGACCTGATGATATAAGAAACTTTCGATATAAATTACTCGTGGATTGGTGTGGGACCACTAATTCTTTTGTTTATGTAAACCATAAGATGACTACCATAATTTCTTGGCCAGAGCAATGTATTATTGGTAATAAACTGATTTGCATGATATAATAATTGAATAACATCTATGTATAAATATACTTGGGAATCCACTTCTCGATTTTGTAAAGGAGGGTGGTTATGATGAGTGATTGATGGAGCAATGGAAAGTTTGGCTATTTATAATTTATCTACAGACAATTTCTACTTTGAATCGGTATAAACAATGAACAATTAGCTAAATGACATGTGAATCGAAATTTTAAAAGGATTAATTCTACTAGCTATAAGACATCATGATCTGAGTAAATTCTTTCGGTGGTATTAATGACCTATTAGAAGCAATTGATTTGGTTAGTAATTATGTTTGAATCTTAATTGGTTTTTTCAATCTATATAGATTGGTTGTTTATAATTTACTTACTTGTAATTATAATGGATTGTGGTTGTTTTTACCATTTGTTAAAAATATAGGTTTTTTTTGTGTTTATTAAAAAATAAAAATATTTATCTGTTAAACAGATTCTGTTATAAAAATTTGAATTGGTGGTAAAGTGTACTGAAGCGGTGAAGTTCTTGGTATGTGTTGTAAAAGTTGAATTTGTGGTTGTGGTTATACTACTGGATTATTATTTTGAGTGTGATTTGCGAGGTGGTTCCATTTAAGTACTGAGGTGGTGGTAGTGGTGATTTAAAATAAATGCTTGCGAGCCATCAAAAGAAAAATGTGATAAAAGTTGGTGTAGATGGATACCATGATGATTATGGTGCACTTTGTGTTGACTATTTATTTAACATAAACCCAATGTTTGATTAGAGACCTTAGACAAAAAACGTATTGATTCGGAAAAATAAAGATTTAGAATTTAACTATAAATATTAAAATTAAATATTAGTTTCTTTTATATTTAAATATAAATATAATTATTTTAATGATGTCATTATTGTTACCTTAATATTTTGCTTTCTACATGATAATTTGAATTTACTGGTACATTTTCGAGCTTTTTTCAAAAGAGTTGAACTATATGATTTATTATTTATACTATATGTTGATGATAATGTGATTATTTCTGAATTGTAAATTATTTTCATCGATTTTAAAGAAATATTTGAAACGATTTAATTAATAATTTTATCGCCATCTTGTTCATTAATTGAAACATTGAATGACACGATTTAGTTATTAATCTCATCGCCATCTATTTCATTAATCGAGATCCATAGAGTCTAGTTCTTCATTGCTACCAGAAGATAAATCATGATTGATATGATTATTGGAATCGAAATCTGATTCATAAACGGAGTGATCTTCTGGATCGAAATCTGACTCATAAACGGAATGATCATCATCATCATCAGACTCTTCTTTGGACTCTTCATTGGACTCTTCTTCGGAATTATTTTCAGAACTATATTTTTGAAGAATTCTATCTAATTCAACATCTATTGGACAACGGCCCTCTCTCTGCAATTAAATAATAAAATAAATTAATATATATTTTTTATTTATTATGTATAAATATTAATGTATGAAATACTTACTTGAATATAATAGAATATTTTTCTACACAATGGGCATGTCCTTTCTATTTTGTACCATTTACTGATGCATCCGTAGCAAAATTTATGGGAGCAATCTATCGAGGTGGAATTCTCGGAGTTTAATTTGGTATAACAAATACAACATTCGTTAACCTCTTCTTTTTCTAAACGCTCCCTTTCTATTTTTTCTTTTTCTATTATTTCTTTCTCTAATCTTTCTTTCTCTAATCTTTCTTTCTCTAATCTTTCTTTTTCTACACGTTCCTTTTCTACACGGACTCTTTCTATTCTTTCCTTTTCCAACTTTTCTTTTTCCATCTTTTCTTTTTCCAATCTTTCTATTTCAATACGTTCTTTTTCTGCTTTTTCTCTTTCTAATTTTTCTTTATTTGCAGAATTGAAAGCTGGAGTATTTGTTGTTGAACTTGCACACTTGTAACGGGATTGTTCTTTATTGACTGATGGATATTCTGATCTGTGTGCTTTTTGCTGTTGGTTGGTTGATGGAGTATTTACTGGTTTTGGTCCGTCTGTTGTATTGAAACGTGAGTGTGCACTATTAAATGCTGGGTAATTCGATTCTGCCCTTGATGGTTTAAATGGTTGTTGTGGTTGTTGTGGGCATTGTTGTGGTGAATCGGTGGATGTAGAATTACCAGCAGCACTATAACGTGATTGTTCCCTATTAAATGTTGGGTAGTTAAAAGAATGTGCACTTGATGGTTTATGTTGTGGTTGTGGGTTTGGATTTATGTGTGGTTGATCGTGCTGTTTTTGGCTGGTTGATGGAACACTACCTGTAGTATAACGTGATTGGCTTCTATTAAAATTAGGATAGTTGTTTGTTTGTGTGGTTGAATGAGAATATTGTGGTTGTTGTGGTTGTTGTGGTTGATATTTTGATGGAAGACTACCAGTAGTATAACGAGAATTGGCTTTATTTAAATCTGGGTAGCTGTTTGATTGTGCATTTGAATGTGAATATGGTGGTTGTTGTTCTTGTTGTTGTAGGTTTTCATATGCATCCATATCTTGAAATAGTTTTCTATAATTAGGGATTGATGCATTGCTTTTTGGTTGTGGTTGTGGAGATTGTGGTTGTTGTTGTTCTTCTTCTTGTTGTTGTTGTTTTTCGTAAGCATCCATATCTTGAAATAGTTTTCTATAATTGGGGATTGATGCAGTACATTTTGGTTGTGGTGATTGTGGTGATTGTGGTGGTTGTGGTGGTTGATGTGGTTGTGGTGGTTGTGATGATTGTGGTGATTGTGGTGATTGTGGTGATTGTGGTGAGTTATTGTTGGTATTGGTGTAGTATTTTGAGATAAAAAATAAAAATAAAAAAAAGGAGATAGCTCCAACTATTGAAAAAATCATTTTAACTTTTTTTTTTTTTTTTTTTAATGAAATATGGTTTGTAAAAAATTGATTATAAACAAAGGTTATTTCTACAATTTACAAAAAAAAAAAAATAAGATTATTATATAAATAAAAGTGTGAGTGTGAGTGTGAAGAAAAAAATAAATTTTTATAAATTTTAATAAATTTTAATAAATTTTAATAAATTTTTAAAAAAAAAAAAAAATTTAAAATTTAAAAATTATAATTTATTAAAAAAATAAAAAAACAATATTAGAAGTTCAATAAAAAAATTTTTAATTATGATTATTATTAATTATAATTAACAAAAACATATTATTATTTTTTATTATTTTACGGAGTGAAACACATTATTATATTTAAGGTATATAATGATTTATTTCACTCTTTAAAATCCCTAATGGTCCATTATTTAAAAGTAAATATTATGCTAAAGCAGCAACATTCTGGACTCAAATAAATAAATCCACTGTATATTATAATAAATTTCACCTCATTTAATATTTAAATAATAATTAATATTTTAATTAAATAAAAAATGTAACATTAACACAATTTTTACCTTTTTATAAAACATCAATCACTATTTTTATTTTTAAAAAATATTTTTCTTTTTATTAATTTTTATTATTTCATATTAATTATTTTAATATTAACTAAATTTTTAATTTCACTAAAAACTTAAAAGTTTTAGTACTTATAGGTTCAAAGTAAAAGAGAATGTGGATTAACACTAATGCTGCAAAATATTTAATAATAACAAAACAGGGTTATATAGGAACTTTATAAGAAAAAAGAATTTTATCTGGTGATGTGTTTCTTTTACAATTGCTTTGTTGATATGACACAATTATCTTCCTATTATTATAAAATAATGATCATAGAGGTGATATTTATTCCAGTTTTAAATAAAATTTCGAAAAAATAAATTATATATTAAAATTTAAATTATCTTTTTTAAAAAAAATTTGAACTTCATTTATAAAACTGTGGGTGGTTATAACCCCCATTTTCTTTTTTAATCACTACATATTAATTTCTTTTTGTGGTAAATTTCATTTTTTTTTTTATTTTTTTTAAATTTTAATATTTTAATTTTTTAATTTTATTTTTTTAATTTTTATAATTTTTTTTTTGTTTCAACTCGAAAGAAACTTTTTTTTTTTTTTTTTTCTTTATTATTTTTTAAATATACAAATAATAATATACATTTATTTATTTATTTATTTATTTATTTATTATAATATTCTATTCAATAATAAAATTTATATCACAAATAATTTTTTATATTAATAGTATTATTTTCAGCACCACTTAATAATTTCCCAATCACCATTCACTCTAATCTACAGTATAATATAATAATGGATTTTTTAAATATTGGTTCTTTCTCTTTTGTCGTAATCATTTGTTTATTATTAGGCTTTTTATATAAATGTTTAAATCAAATAGAAGATTTAAAAAAACAAAATCAACAACAAGCCAATCAAGAGTTAGAAAATAATTATCCATTAACAATTTTTAGATTAAATAATGAAATCTCTGGATTAGAAGTAGAGAAAAGAGTCCACCATGATCATCTTTCAGTTCTCGCTAAAAAACAAGAAGTCCTCGACCAAAAGAACAAAAGTGAATTAGAAAAGTTATCCAATCTCAAAAATGTCCAATCACTTGAAATTAGACAATATCAAACCTTAGCTAACCAACAAAGACAAATTCTTCAAGGAAATGATATTGAACAATATAAATTGGTCGAAGAAAGAGACTCAATCAAAGCTAAATTGGAAAATCAATTTAGAAAATCAAATAAATTAGAAGAGACATTATCAGAAAAAGATGAAATTATCCAAATGCTTGAAAAAAAGCTTTTATCAGAACAATTAGCTGTAGTTCAACTCTCCTGTGAACACAAACAAGCAATGGATAAATTAAATGCTAGATCATAATGGATCCGATCGATACCTTGCTAACCATATGGATATTGATTCATATTGAAATCGGTGGAAATAAAATTAATAGTTTTATATTTTCTTTCGTTGTTTCACCTATGAACTAGAAGAAAACTAAATTATTAATTTTATCCTTCCATTCAAAGTTTCAATTTATGATTTCGATAAAGTTGAAAATAGTTAACAAGTGTATCATCAAGTAAATAATCAAATCTTAGTAAGAAATTATGCTGGTCTTTTTTGGTGCCTTATCCCGCTGGTAGTACAAATTTTTCATGTGAAATCCCACTTAAAATAAATAAATAAATAAATAAATAAATAATAATTCAATTAAACATTAATTTAAACGTATATATATTTTTTGAATAGATAAATAAAAAATAAAAATTTTTTTAAAATATCTTTTTTTTTTTTTTTTGAAATTTATTTTTTCGAAAAGGTATGTCTTTTGATATTTGGAAAATCAAACCCTTTCGGTGTTTTGGTTTTTAAATTTTATAATTTTTTTTGTTTTTTTTTTTAAAAGTTTTTTTTTTTTATTCAAAACTGATGCGTGCAGTTTTAAAAAAAAAATAAAAAAAAAAAAAAAAAATAAAAAACTAATCAATTTTTATTTTAGAAAATGTTAGGTAATTATTTTATTATTATTATTGTTATTATTATTAATATTATTTTTATTATTAATATTATTTTGATAAAATATTAATTTCTATAGGTTTAGGTCAATATGGCTCAAAAAGACCATTGGTCGTCAGTTTTGGCAAAAATAAAGGAGCAACTTTTGCACCGCCCCCAATACCCCCAGCTCCACCAAAAAATAATGGTGTTCAATCATTTTCATCATAATTTTTAATTAATTTTAAAAATATTAATAATAAAGTTTATTAAAGAAAAAAAAAAAAAGAGATTTATTTATTATTTATTTGTTTTTTAATAATTCTTTGATTTTTTCTTCACTAATATAGTTTATTGAAAAAAAATCAATCATATCTTTTAAATTGACTTGGTGAATTAGGTCGTCATCAGTTGTGATTAAATTGTGAGGAATTATGGTGTTGTAGTTTAAATTGAATGCATCTTGAACCAAAGCCCTAACGCAATTGTTTGTTTTACAGCCCACAACAATTAGATTTTCTATGTGATTTTCCCTGAGTATTAAATCTAGATCTGTACCAAAGAACCCGCTATATCTACGTTTCTGTATAATGTAGTCTTTTCCATGTTGCACATCTAACTTTTTATAAATCTGAACACCAAAGGAACCAATTAATAAATTTTCTACTTTGAAAACCTGTAATAGTCTATCTGGCTTATCCATATCCCTATATGAATGTTGTAAAAATATAATTGGCATGTTATTTTCTCTTGATAACGATATCATTCTATTAATACCTGGTATCATTTTTTTATAGTTTTCATGATACAAATCACCTGATTTACGTACAAATATATTCAACATATCAATTACTATTAAACAAGTATTATTTGAATTCACATTTTTATTTAGGATGTTTAAAATATTAAAATTATTATCATCTATTGTTTTATAAACGAATTCATTATTACTTTTTTTATTAATATTTTTTATTTCTTCCATTTTTATTACTATTTTATTTATAAAACTCTAATAAAAAACCAAAAGTTATTTTAATACTATTTATTTTTTTTATTATATTATATTAAGAATAGAGGTTTAATTTATTAAATTTTAATTAAATAATAAAATAAATAAAAAAAAAAAATAAAAAAAAAAAATTTTGTAAATTAAAATTTTAAAACTACAAATTTATTTTTATCTTTTTTTGTGTTATTATGTGTGTTAAAAATAATTTTATAAAAAAAAAAATTGATCTGGTATTCATTTTTATATTTATTTTTTGAATTTTAAAAATTTATTTATAGAAATTTAAAAAAAAAAAAAAAAATACTATTATTTAATAAATGATAAAATAAATATTTGCTGACTAGACAAAGAGTCAACGAAATACAGTATTTTAAAATACTTTAAATAGACATAAAACTTATTTCTTAACATTTTATTAAAATTTTATTTTATTTTTATTAATATTTTTTTTTTATTTTTTTTATATTTTTTTTTTTTAATTTTTTCAAAATTTTTTTTTTTAATATAAATTTAAAAAAGATTTTTTTTATCAATAAAAAATTAATATTATCGTCACACACCAATATATTAATAACACTAATAATAAATTATAAATAGCTTTAGCAATGTCAGAACAACAATTAATTGAAACTCAAAAGAACTGGATCCCACTCGAAGCCAACCCAGATGTTTTAACTTCATTTATGCAAAATTTAGGTGTTTCTAAAGATTGGGAATTCTGTGATATATATGGTACCGAAGATGAATTATTAGATATGGTACCAAAACCATGTGCTGCTGTATTGTTATTATTCCCAATTACAAATGCTGTATGTAAATAGAAAATCAATATCAATATCAATATCAATATCAAAATCAAAATCAAATATTAATTTATTTTTAAAAATTAAAACAAATATTAATCAATAACTATTATTATTATACAAATATTTTAGTATGAAGAAAAAAGAAGAATATTACAAGAAGAAATTAATAAAAATGGTCAAATTTTATCAGATAATGTTTATTTTATGAAACAATATATTGGTAATGCATGTGGAACAATTGGTGTTATTCATTCAGTTTTAAACAATTCAGATGTTATAGAATTCAATGAAGATGGTTTCTTTAAACAATTTTTAGAAAAAACTGGCTCCCTAACTACCGAAGAAAGAGCCATTTCATTAATGCAAAATTCAGAAATCGAAAAATCACACGAAATCAGTGCTCAACAAGGTCAATCATCTGTACCAAGTGAAGATGAAATAATCGTTTTACATTTTGTCTCATTTGTTCATGTAATTATTGGTGGTGGTGGTACAGTTAAATCAATTTTAAATAGAAAATAAAACTAACCCTTTTCTTTTTTTTTAAAATAATTTAGGTCGATGGTCACTTATATGAATTAGATGGTAGAAAACCATTTGCAGTTAATCACGGTCCATCAACACAAGAAACACTATTAAAAGATGTTGCAACTGTCTTAAATAAAATGATTGAAGAAAATCCAGAGGAAATTAGATTTAATTTAATGGGTTTAGTTAAAAAACAACAAGAGGAAGAGGAAGAAAAAAAAGAAGAAAACTAAATTAAATTAAATTTGTAAAATAAAAAATATTTTAGAAATAAAGGATATAAAAACTTTTATTTATTCTTTGTCCTTTAAAGAAAAGTTTGTTTTGGTGAATATTTTTAATTTTTAATTTTTAAAGCTGTCATCAATAGTTTCAATTAATCTATACAAAGCTTTAAATTCTTTTTTACCATTACCTTGTTTTGTGAATGAACGAGCAGTTTTAATAACAAAATCTTTAATTTCCTCGGATGGAATTGTAAGTTTTGAGGTATCGCCACCAACGATACTTAACATTTTAACTTGGATTTCGCAAGCTTTGGTTAATTGATAGAGGAAATAGAAGGCCTCCTCTACACAGTTGCCACAAGTTACAATACCGTGATTACGTAAAATTAAACATTTATTTTCTGAACCTAATGATTTGACGATACGACCTTGCTCTTCTAGATTGACAGAGATGCCCTCGTAATCGTGGTAAGATACATCACCGACAATTAATGCATTTTGGCTGATTGGCAATAAACCTTCTTTATAGCATGCGACGGCAACTACGTCATTGACATGAGTATGCATGGTCGATTCGATATCTGGACGTGCACGATGAATGGCACCGTGAATTACATAACCTGTGCTATTGATACCCAAATTACTGGATCCTTCATCGATAATATTACCTTCTAAATCTAATTTAACTAAACTGCTTGCTGTAACTTCATCGAATCTCATTCCGAATGGATTTAAAAGTATATAATCGGTACCTGGAATTCTTGCTGTTAAATGATTATAAATAACCTCATCCCATTTATAATGGGCAACCAATCTATAGGCTGCTGCTAATTTGACACGTGTAAGATACTCGATATCACTATATTTGCTTTTATTTTCAACACTAATTTCGTTACTATCTGAAATTTTATTGGATATCATATTATTATTATTATTATTTATAAAACTATAAAATTATATAGTGTTTAATTTATTATAAGCAAAATAAAAAAAAAAAAAAAACAATACATATTGAGTCAAAAAAATAAAAATTAAAAAATTAAAAACAAAAAATAAAAAAAATAAAAAATAATCTGTAAAAAAATAACTGACAAATTATTAATGAAATTTATCTCTAAAATATAAGAAATAAAATAAAGGGTTTATTATATTTATATGACCAAAAAAAAAAAAAAAAATCTTATATTTATATTATTATCACTATGACATTATTATTTATTCATAATGTTTTCAATGTCTTTGATTTCTTTTGGAGCTCTATATGTTAATACTAATGGGCTTTCATTCTTTTGAGATACTACTACGTCATCCTCTACCCTAATATTGATGCCACGATATTCTTCTGGGACGTTTTGGTCGTATTTTGAAATGTAAATACCGGGCTCGATGGTGATAATCATACCCGGTTCTAAAGTTACACCATAGCTAAAATCGATTGTATCGTGGGTGTCCATTCCCAAATAATGGCCAATTGAATGTGGGTAGTATAGACTGTATGTGTTTGGATTATTATCGTGCAAGATACCTAAATTCTTTAAATGCTCTTTAGTGAGTTGGATGGAGAGGTCGTGAATCGAATTAATGCTTTCACCAGCTACACACATTTCAATACATTTCTTATTTACATCCAATACTGCTTCATAAACTTTTCTTTGTGCCTCTGTGAATCTACCATTGACTGGGAATGTTCTTGTGATGTCGCTTGTATAACCCCAATGCTCGCAACCTGCATCCATCAATAAAAGATCACCATCCTTTAATATTTGATTGTTTGCAATATAATGAAGAGTGTTTGCATTGTTTCCTCCTGCTACTACGGGTGGGTAGCTCATTCTTTTAGCACCTCTTTTCTTTACATTCCATTCGAAATAGGCTGAAATTTCATATTCGTTCATACCCGGTTTAATATATTTCATAACTTCTGAAAATGATTCACCTGCAATTTCACCACTATTTAACATTTGTTTAACTTCGCTATTTGACTTTATCAATCTGCATTGTTGTAGAATTTTTTCTATATTAAATGTTTGAAATTCTGAAACTATAGTCCAAATATATATGAAAAAATTAGTAATAAAATTTATAAATAATGGTTTTTAAGTATTACTACTTACTGCCTTGTAATTTTGAAAATAATTGATTCCATTCGACAATATTGCAATATAATTTCTTTTCTGGGTTTCTTGTCAATAGTTTTAAGAGGGTTTGGGTCTCGTTGAGATTATAACCATAATCAATACCAAAAAATCTGTTTACATTTTCCCCTCCACATCTTGGACCATCCCATTTCTCTTTTTCCTCTTGACGCTCTCTTACAAACATATAGGATATATGGTCTACATCTGAAGTTTTCTCTAAAACCAATACTGCCTCAGGCTCATTAAATCCTGTAAAATAATTGAAATTGGTGTTTTGTCTAAAATCCCATGGAATGTCATAAGACATCATTGGCTCTGGTGGTGTGAATAATACAACAATCGATCCAATTGCAAATGGTTTTAATAATTTATTTCTTCTTTCTTTAAATTCCTCTTTTTTAATACCCTTGGTAACCTCATCTTTTTCTAATAAATGTGGATGAGTTTCATGTGTTGGTTGTCCAATTGCTAATGGTTTAACATTATTTAATATAATATTACTATTTGTAAAATATCTTTTATTAATATTACTAACTTTATTATTATTATTATTTAAAAAAACATTATTATTATTAATAAATATTCCCCTATTTGAAATATTTAATATTCTTTTACAACTATTAATTTTAATTAAATTTTTCATTGTTATTCTTTTTTAAAATTAATTTAAAAAAAAAGAGGAAAAAAAAAAATTAAAAAATAATATTCGTAAAAAAAATAAAAAAATAAAAAAAAAAATAAAAAAAAATAAAAAAAATGAAAATAATTTTATAATTTAAAATTAATAATATTATTTAAATATATACAAATAACCTTGTAACCTTTACCTTTTTACTATATCCATTTCAACTTTGTGTATAAATTGTTTTTATTAATTTTTAATTTAAAATTTGATAATCACAAACACAATAATCAAAAGTGTGAACTTTAAAATTTTATTTTTTTTTAATTTTTTTAATTTTTTTTTTTAATTTTTTTTTTTTTTTAATTTTTTTTTTTTAATTTTTTTTTTTTTTTAATTTTATTAAATTTTTTTTGAACTCAATCCTTTTAATATTAATTTTTTTTTTTTTTCCCCATCATATCACAAATTTTTTTTTTTTTTTCAAATATATATATACACATATAAAAATTTAAATATTATAAAATGTATCGTAATCAATATGACTCTGATATTACAACATTCAGTCCAAGTGGACGTATTCATCAAGTAGAGTATGCTATGGAAGCAGTTAAACAAGGTGGTGCTGCTGTCGCATTAAAATCTAAACAATATGCAGTTCTTGTTTCATTAAAGAGATCAAGTTCAGAATTAGGTTCATATCAAAAGAAGATTTTTGTAGTTGATGATCATGTTGGTATTGCCATTTCTGGTCTTACAGCTGATGCCCGTATGTTATGTAACTATATGAGAAATGAATGTGCAAATTATAATTATGTTTACGAAAATCAAATGAGAGTCGAACGTTTAGTTACCAAAGTTGCCGATAGTAAGTATTATAAATTATTTTAAAATTTCATATATATAACCAATATTAAATTTCTAATTTCTAATTGTTTTTTTAAACTCATTATAGAACATCAAGTCCATACTCAAAGATATGGTAGAAGACCATATGGTGTCGGTTTATTAGTTGCTGGTTTTGATGTATGTTTGTTTTTAAATATAAAAAAAAAAATAGATGGTTGAAAAAAAAAAAAAAAAGTTTATAAATACTAATTGTTTTTTTATTATTCCACATTTATTATAGCAATTAGGTGCTCATATTTATCAAACTTGTCCATCAGGTAATTTTTACGATTATAAATCAATTTCAATTGGTTCAAGATCACAATCAGCAAAAACATACCTCGAAAAACATTTTGAATCCTTTGAAGAAAGTAGTTTAGAACAATTAATTATTCATGGTTTACGTGCACTCAGAGAAACCATTCCAAATACAGATGATGGTTTAAATTCAAAGAATGTTTCAATTGGTATTGTTGGTGAAAATCAAAAATTCAAAATTATTGAAGATGAAGCTGCACAACAATATGTAAGTTTCATAATATAAAACATATTGAATCAATACAAACTATATATACTAATATTTTCTTTTTTTTTTTTTTTTTTTACTTTTTAGCTTAATTTACTTGAAAATGAAGAACCAGTTGAAATGCAAACCAACTAAATTCTTATTTTATAATTAAATAATTATTTATATAAAAAAAAAACCAAAACCAAAACCCCAAAAAAACCAAACCAAACCAAAAAAAAAAATACTTAATAATAAATGTAGATAGTATAACAATATTTTTTTTTTTTTTAAATATTTATTTCATCTTTATTCATTTAATTTTTTTTAATTTTACAAACTGACAATCAAGTGTCAGTTTAAATATTTTACTGACAATTGTTTTTGGATATAAATAATCAAAATTTTTTTTTTTTTTTAATTTTTAAAAATTAAAAATATAAAAATATAAAAAATGTTTAATAATAATCAAATTGTATACTATCCTTCAAATCAAATAGACCACAACAGTAGTAATAATATAAATAAAAACAATAATATAACATATAATGAAAGTAGTAATTATGTTTCAATAAAAAAAAAAGTTCATTTTAATGATAAAGATGAAATTTACTATACAGATTCTGATGTTTACCACGAAAATGATGATCTTATAAAAGGTGAAAAAGGTAAGTTTAATATAAATTTAATATTTGAAAATTGTAAAAGAATACTAATTAGAAACTACTAAAATTTAGTCCCAGCCAAAAATATTACAACTTTTAATGAAGCTATGGAAATAATTAATATATGTATTGAAAGTTTTAGTAGTTTTTTAGACAGATAAATTAAAAATTTAAAAAAATAAAAAATAAAAAAAACTAATTTATATATTGAAATAATTTAATAAAAAATTATTTAGTGTAAATAAACTATTATATATTTTATAAATATATATACAACCTATTGGTTTCATATCTTGGGTACCTCTAAATCTACTACTGTATTGGGAATCACCCCGATCTGAAGAGGTTGATAGTCTAAATATTTTAAATGATGGTGGTATTGAGTTATCAACCTAGTTTGTCTTAATAGATACTTGTTTCTTCATATTGAAAAAAATAATTTATCATTTCCATCAATTTTTTTTAAGTGTATCTGATTTTGTTAATAATAATAATAAAAAAACAATTTTAAATAATTTTATACATATAAAAAGTTATTAAATATTAATAATAAAATAAATAAAAATAAAAATTTAATTGTAATAAAATCATTTCATAAAATTTTTTTTGAATTTTAATTTTTATTATTTTTATTTTTAGTTTAAAATCTTTTTATTAAATGTGATAAAATGTCTGGTATTGGGTGTCTATAAGTATAAGGTAGTGCTATTTGAGTAACAGATTTTGGAATGATAGCTGGGTCTAGAGGTTGATTAAACCCATAACTAAAGGTTAATCTAGTGAGAGATTCTGGTAATACCCCTACTCGAAGAGGAATAAATATTTCAGGTAGTTTTACATGTGTAACTGAATTGGGTATTGCACCGACTTGAAGAGGATGGGCATAGAGATTGGGTATCTCTATCTGCTCTACTGAGTTGGGTAAAAAACCGACTTTAAGAGGTTGGGAATGGTTAATTGGGAGTTCTAATTTTTTTACTGATGGTGGAATTGAATTAGTTTGAAATCGAATTGGATTAAAAAGATAACTAATTTTCGATTCGAAATAAAGTCCTATAATGGATGATGGTAAATCATTTTCCAATAACTCTTTTGAATAGTTTGATATAAATAAATGTTGTAAAGTATTTGGGAATAGATGTTTACCAAGATTACGATTATATGATTTTAGTTCTAAATGTTTCACATTTGGTGGTAATACTTGTGGTTCTAATGGGTGGTTATATGAATTCAAAATGAGATTAATTATTGATGATGGAAGCACATTTGGTTTTAAAACTTTATTAAAACTACACAAAACTAATGTATTTATTGAGGATGGGAATGTTTCGATCGATATTTCTTGATTAAAACTTGATAAATAGAGATCTTCTAATGAATGGAGTTTAGATAGAGAGTTGGATAATGGGTGATTAAATTCATCCAAATGTAGATCAGTGATTGATTTTGGAAGTACACCGTCTGATAGTGGGTGTTCAAACCTATGTAGTTCTAATGATTTTAATTCAGGAGGAAGAATATTTGGTAGGAGCGGTTGATTGAATTTGAAGAGAACTATATTTTGACACGTTTGAGGTAAGTCACCAGCTTTTAAAGGTTGATTAAAGAAGTCCAAGCCTAAGTCTACAACTGAACCAAATGAACCAGGTACAATTGTTCTATTGAATTGACTAAGCAATAAATATTTTAGTGATTTTGGGAGAGTTTCAATAGTTATATCTTGATCTAGTGACATTGTTAAGCGGGTAAGTGATGGTGGTAATGAATTTGGTGAAACATCTTGATTTCTACCGGTTCTTAAATGAGTAACACTTGGTGGGACAACTGATTTAATATCGAAACGATGAGAATAATTCCATTTAAATTCTAAAATAGTCACTGTAGTTGGAATATCGCATGCTTGAATTGGTTGATTAAATTTACCAAATTTTAAATTGGTTGTACCATAGGGTATTACTTGACCATGTGGTTCTAATGGTTCATCAACATCAATTATAATTTCTGTTGCATATCTTCTATGTGGATGGTATCTAAGTTCATCCATTGACTTGATAATAACTATACAATCATTTTTTCTATATAACCTATGATGTCTTTGAATTTCGCTTAATAGAAACTTGTTTCTCCATACATAAAAAAATAATATTTCATTTATATAATTATTTTCCATTTTTGTTTTTGTAATTGAATCTAAATTCTGTGTGTCATTATAATTATTATTACCATCTATTATATCATTATTATTCATTTTTATATTTAAGTTGTTAGAAAATTTTGTTTTGAAATAATAAAAAAAATTATAAAAAAAAGCAAAATTTAAAAATTTTGTTTAGATGTAAATTTGTAAATTTGTAAATTTGTAAATTAAATATTAAAAAAAAATAAAAAAAAAATAAAAAAAAATAAAAAAAAAATATTATTGGTTTTGTTGTAAACTGTACATAAAAATATAATTGTTTTTGTTTTTATGAACAGTTTTTTTTTAAAAAATAATTATTTTTGCATCAGTCTTTTTACAAATTTTTTATATGGGAAATCAAAATTTTTTTAAATATTTTTTAAATAATAAAAAAATATTAAACTCAAAAAAAAAATGAATTCTGAATTGGGTATTATTAAAATTAAATATTTAAACTTTTATTTTTTAATTGATAATTTAATATGTTTAAATTTTTTTCGAAAAGTATTTCAGTTTTTTTTTTTTGATTTCCCTTTCCAAAATTTACCATTTGTGTATCCATCATAAATACTACCAAGTGAACCATATGTACCTTTGGTCCTCTATCTATTCTGTCACATGCATTATTATAAAGTACTTAGTGTTTTTTTTGTTTTGTTTTGTTTGTTTTGTTTTTTTTTTTTTTTTTTTTAATTTTAGAAAATAGAATAATAGTGATAGTTTTTAAATGAGAAATAATAAACCCTGAAAAATTAAAATTTAAATGTTGATTAATACTAAATCTAGAAAAGAGAGATAGAAAATTAATTAAGTTTTCCATATATTTGTTATTTCCATAGCTTTATTAATATTTTAAGAAATTTTTATTATTTTTATTTTATTTCCATAATTATAATCTTTTTATTATATGTGATAAAGAGTCTGGTATTGGGTGTGTAAAAGTATAAGGTAGTGATATTTGAGTAACAGATTTTGGAATGGTAGCTGGGTCTAGAGGTTGATTAAATCCATAATTAAAGGTTAATTTAGTGAGAGATTCTGGTAATACCCCTACTTGAAGAGGACTAAATTCTTCAGGTAGTTTTACATATGTAACTGAATTGGGTATTGCACCGACTTGAAGAGGATGGGAATAGAGATCGGGTATCTCTAAATGGACTACTGAATTGGGTATAAGACCGACTTGAAGAGGTTGGGAATGGTTTCTTGGGAGTTTTAATTTTTTTACTAATGGTGGAATTGAATTAGATTGAAATCGAATTGGATTAAAAAGATAACTAACATTCGATTCGAAATAAAGTTCTGTAATTGATGATGGTAAATCATTTTCCAATAACTCTTTTGAATAGTTTGATATAGATAAATGTTGTAAAGTATTTGGGAATAGATGTTTACCAAGATTACAATTATATGAATGTAGCTCTAAATGTTTCACATTTGGCGGTATTACTTGTAGTTCTAATGGGTGGTTATATGCATCCAAAATGAGATTAATTATTGATGATGGAAGCACATTTGGTTTTATAACTTGATTAAAACTATACAAAACTAATGAATTTATTGAGGATGGGAATGTTTCGATGGATATTTCTTGATTAAAATTTGATAAATTGAGATCTTGTAATGAATGGAGTTTAGATAGAGAGTTGGATAATGGGTGATTAAATTCGGTCAAATATAGTTCAGTGATTGATTTTGGAAGTACACCGTCTGATAGTGGGTGGTCAAACCTATATAGTTCTAATTTTTTTAAATTAGGAGGAAGAGTATTTGGTTGGAGCGGTTGATTGAATTTGGTGAGAAATAAATTTTGACATGTTATAGGTAAGTCACCAGCTTTTAAAGGTTGATTAAAGAAGTCTAGGTATAATTCTACAATTGAACCAAATGAACCAGGTATAATTGTTCTATTGAATTTAAATTGCATTAAATATTTTAGTGATTTTGGGAAAGTTCCAATAGCAATATCTTGATCTAGTTTCATTATTAAGCGGGTAAGTGATGGTGGTAATGAATTTGGTGAAACTTCTTGATTTTTACCGAGTCTTAAATGAGTAACACTTGGTGGGACAACTGATTTAATATCGAAACAATGAGAATAAATCCCACTAAATTCTAAACTTGTCACTGTTGTTGGAATATCGCATGCTTGAATTGGTTGATTAAATCTACCCAATTTACCAATGAAATTTAATTTGGCTGTACCATAGGGTATTACTTGACCATGTGGTTCTAATGGTTCATTAACATCAATTATAATTTCTGTTGCATATCTTCTATGTGGATGGTATCTAAGTTCATCCATTGACTTGCCAATATATATTTTTTTATTTTTTCTATATAATCTATGATGTCTTTGAATTTCGCTTAATAGATACTTGTTTCTCCATACAGAAAAAAATAATTTTTCATTTTTATTATCATTATCCATATCTGTTTTTGTAATTGAATCTAAATTCTGTGTGTGACTATAACTATATTTAAAGGTTGTTAGAATAAAAATTAAATTTTAAAGAAAATCAAAAAAAATTTGATCAAAGAGAAATTAAAAATAAAAAAAATATTAAATTTTGAAAAAAATTTTCTTAATTTTAACAAAAACAACTAAAATTTTTTTTTTTTTTTTTAATGTGCAATTTGAATAACAAAATTATTATTTAAGTTATTCTTCTCTTAATTTTTGTGGTTAAGCAGTAAAAACTGGCTCATCATTATTTTATTTTGATTTTAAAAGTATTATTATAAAACTATTAATACATATATGAATACTGAATTTCACCCAATACATTATATTCTTGAGAACCTCATGTTATAAACGCACTATGATTCAAATATATAAAAATAACAATAACTGTAATATGGAATTTTTTTAATAAGGCTATGGAAATAATTAATATATGTATTGAAATCTTTTTAGAAAGATAATTTAATAAAAAAATTAAAAATAAAAAAACTAATTTTATATTCAATATTGAAATAATTTTATTAAAAATTATTTAGTGTAATAAGTAAACTATAATTTACTTTAAAAGAAAAACCCATTTTTATAAGCAGTTATTGGTTTGGTAACTTGGGTGTCTCTTGAGGTATAGGTTGAAAAGTATGATCTATTTGAACCTCCTGTACCTTCCCCTAAATTTTTTTAAAAAAAAAGTTAAAAATAAATTTATTTTAACATAATTCATCCCTATAAATAGTTATTACATTTACTGAATTGTGTAGTGGTAGGTTTATTCATATTTTTTATTTTTTTATTATTATGATTAAAAAAAAAAAAATTAATTATTAATAAAATTTGAGGTCGAACAATTTAATCATTAATAAAATTTGAGGTCGAACAAAAAAATATTTTAAATAATTCATTTTTAAAAAGACCCTTTTTTATTTTTTTTTTTTTTGGTTGTTGAAAACAGATATCTTTGAACGAAACGTCGCAAATAAAAAAAAATTGCCGAAAAGTTTTTTTTAAAATATCATAATAAAATTTTAATCATTATTGATGATGTGATTTCTCTTTAGAAAGAAAGAAAAAGCATCACCATATCGATTTTTATTTAATATTACAATAGTTGGTTTTTAATTATTATAAAAAAAAAGCTATAAAAAAACCAAGTTTATCCACTAGAAACAAAAATTTTTGTTTTTTTTAAATAATTTTGTGATAAAATGGGTTTTTAAAAACCAAATATCTTTTTTGAAATTTTTTTGTTTTCCTCAGTTTTAAAAAAAAAAACCTTGTGGACACTTTGGTATTTTATTTTTATAAATAAATATCTTTTATTGTTTTAATATTATAATGATGCTATTTGTTGTGATTTTGGTTTACATTCAAATATTTAAAATAAATTTGGAAACGAGAAAAAATGAATATCTTTTTTTTTTTTTTATAATTATTTTATAATTTTAATAATTGAATATTTATTTGAAAATATGTATAATTATTATTTGCTTGCTATATATATTTTCTATTTGTTTTTATTAATACTAAGCTTTAAAACTAGATTTTTGAGCATTGGTTGGTGGTGGAGCAATAGTTTGTCCTTTGTTACCTCCTGGTTTAATTGGCCATCCTGGTCTATTGCTACCCTCATTTGCACCTATTAGTTAATGATAATCCTTTCTTTAGTTATTTATTCAATCAAATTATATATTTAAATATAAAATTATAATTACCCATTATTTATTTTTAAATATAATTATTTACTATTAATTTTACTGAGAATTTGAAATATATTAAATGGTTTTTTTTTTCTTGTTTTTTTTGTTTCATTTTATTTTTTTATAAATTTTTTTATTTTACCCTGTTTATAATATTTTTTTAAAAAAAGATTATTTTTTTTAGACCATCCAGGGAATAGAAAATAAAAATATAATATTTTTTTAATTTTTTTTTTTTAAAAAAATTTTTTTTTTTTTTTTTTTTTTTTTTAATAATAATTATAAAGGTTATAATCTAATTTTTATTTATTAAAATTTTATTTTATTAATAACTAAATGAATTTTTTATATATGATCGGGGGGGGGGGGCAAAACTAGCTCCTTTTGAAACACCTTGAGTTAATTGTGTGAAAAAATTGGGACCAATTTTTTTACAGCCACTTGTTGCTTAAAAAAAAAAAAAAAAAAAAAAAAAAATTAATATAAAATTTAAAGGATAAATATATAGATAAAAACTATTACTCTTATTAATTTCCATTTTTTTGATTTATTGATAATAATAAAAAAAAAAAAAATTATATTTTTGAAATTATTTATCATTGTTTTTTTTTTACCCATTCAAAATTAAAAAATCACTTTGGAAATTTAAAATTTTAAAAAAAAACAAAAAAAAAAAGTCGTTAGGAGCTATTCGTGTCATTTCGGTATTTTAATCATTAAACTGAAGGGTCACCAATAATTTAGTTATCAATTTTTTGTGCAAGTTTATATTATGAATAAAAAACAATATACTGTTTTTTTTTTTTTTTTTTAGTTTTATATACAATTAATAATGAGTGAATCCACCCATTAAAGTAGTTTTATTTATTGTTTTTTTTTTGTTATATTTTAATCGTCGTCTATACTAATAATAAGATCGGGTTTTGATATATTTGAATTATTATTATTGCTGTTATTAATTTTATTTTTATTATTATTACTTTTTGAATCTTTTACATCAATTTCTTTTTTGGAGTAGTTTGATGGTTTTGTTGGTGAAACAAAGTTTTTATCAAAGCTTTCATCGTCTGAATCAGTTCTTTTTTTTGGTGGTGGTATGGGTTTTTGTTTGATATTGGGTGCTCCTTTAACAATTCCTGAGCTAATTGGTTTTGATGGTTTATCGTCGTCGTCTAATCCCCAGCTTTTTATATAGTGTTCAGAACTTTTTGGACCTAGATTTGATGTTGAGGACTTTATAGTTTTTGATGTTGATTCATCACTATCATAGTCATATGAAAATTTCTTTTTATTCGTGTTTGGTGAATTATTTGATATTGGATTTTTATTTGGTTTAATAATTTCGTTTTCATCTAATTCATCTATTGAAATTGGTTTATTTGATTCTAATTCTTTTCTTTTTTTATTATTATTATTATTATTATTATTATCATTAATATTATTATTAATATTATTATTATTATTATAATTATAGTTATTGTTATTATTGTTATTTTTTATATTATTTAAATTGTAATCATCATCAACAATAATTTGGTCATCGCTATTATTATTTGAATCTTGAAAAACTTCAAAGTTAAAATCTCCATCACCATATTCCATGAATTTTTTTCCTCTATTATATTCTACAAAAACTGCACCATCCATAGATTCTATAAATGAATCTACATCTTCAACTTTACAATTTTCATTACCAATAATTAATTTTATTTCTTTATTTTTTTTTTCAGACTCTTTCTTTTTAGAAATTAACTGATCTTCTTTAATTAAACGTTCTATCTCTAATTGTTTTTCAATTTCCTCTCTTCTCCTTCTTTCTTCTATTCTTTTTTGTCTTTTTTCTTCTTCAACACGAGCTTTTTCTTCTTCACTTGCCTTATTTTCTAAATATTTTACTTTACATTCTATTTCTACTTCATCTCTTAAAATAACAAAATTAGTTGCCTCTATTAAATCACCTGCTGCGCGACATGCCTCTATATATAGTGAGTTGATACATGATATACCTTCAAAATTTTTATTACTTGTGCATATTTGTTCGTATGATTGTACTGAATTTGGATCTGAAATAAACATAAAATAAGCACTATTTGGTGTTTTATCGGTTAATCCTCCATTATTATCTATATAATTAATTGGTTAGTATTTAAAATTATTGACAATGTTTTTAATATTTGATAAAATATTACTCCAAAAGTTTTTATGTTCTTGTGGTACATCATTTGAAAACCAAGCTCTTAATTGACGAAACATAGATTTTAATAAATATTATACTACTATTATATTGTTATTTTATTACTATAATACATGAATATATTATCATTTGGTGATAATCTGCTAAATGGATAATGAAAATGGATATTATTTAATTTATAAAAATAAAAATTTTGAAAAAAAAAATTTTTAAAAAAAAAAAAAAAAAAAAATTAGAGGAATTATTTTTATTTTATTTTTTTCTTTCAAAAACAAAAAAAATTATTTTTTATTTTAAATTGTTCAAATGTTTTAAAATTCAAAAAATGAAAAAAAATGTTGTAATTAAGACAGAGAAAGATGAAAAACATTCATTAGAATATACATCACCAGAGAAAAACACAGAATCAAATAAAATTGTGACATATGCAACTATAGATTATGATGAAAATAAAAAGAGAAGAGAATTTGAGGAGAAAGAAAAAGAAAAGGAAAAGGTTTTTAAAGATAGAAAACAAATAAGATTACAAGAATTTAAAAAAAAAGAAAAAGAATATGATGATGCATTTGAAGCAGGTAAAAAAAAAAGACTTAAAGAATACGAAGAATCAATCAGTTATCAAAATAACTCTCAAGATGTTGAGTTTTTTGGTATTAATGATGACTTTAAAATAAAAAAGTAGAATGATAATTTTATTTAATTTTCTTCCTTGTCACGATCTGGATCTTCTGGATGAGTGATTTTATCATCAACAATTTTAACGTTAAAGTTCTCTTCGATTTCTTCTTCATCCTCCTCATCTGGTACCAAAATATACAAAAGATATTGAGATAAAGTAGTATCTTTTCCCAATCTTGCATCTTTGAAATAATCAACAACTATATTTGAATATTTTTCCAATGTGATCTTTACTATTTCTCCCATTTTATTTTTACAATCTTCAGTACATTTCTTTCCAATATCGGGGAAAACTTCCAGGTCACGACAAAAATCTTTGAAATATTTCAATTGAAATTTTTTTTTGCAGTCTTCAATATTATATTTCTTATGAGGACACATTTTATGGCAGTATGTAAAAACAAAAATTTTAATTAATATGAAATTTTTTTTTTGTGTGAAAATTTTTTTAATAAATAAAATAAAAAAATAATTTAAAAATAAATTAAAAACAATTTAAAAATAATTTAAAATAATTTTAAAATAAAGAAATAATTTTAAAACTCGGTTATTTTCTATTCATGGTATTTATAGAATATTTATAAAAGTCATAGTTTTTTTTATATACATGACAAAATAAAATGATACACTGTATAAAAAGTTTATAAAAAACCAATAGGTCTTTACCATTTACCTGAATGAAAATAATCATTTTATTAATTTAATTTAATATTACCCCACTTTAAAATAATGGAGATTATATCAAAAAATATATATAACACAAATAAATAAAGTGAGAAAACACATTCAAATCATCAAATGGAGTTTACAAATATAGTATATATGGGTATCTCCATCATATTTTAGGAAAAAAAAAAAAAAAATGGAGATTATGTCTTGATTATTGTTTTTGAAAGAAAAACCTTTTTGATTTTCACTGTTGAAACAAAGAAAAAAACCATCTTTCTCCAGCTCGTGAATTAATTGTTCAAATTGATCTTTATTTCCCAAAAAAAAAATTTGGTGTGAGACGTAATAAAATAGATCCAACATGGTATCATATTGAATTTCGCAAACCACATGTTGTCGGTCATGCTCATATGATTCTACTTCTTTGAAAAAACGGTTAATTATTTGGTTTTTAGATGTTTCCCATGCTTCTAATTTTTTCTTTTTAAAAAAATGTACTTTAAAAAACATTTTCATTATTAATTTTATATGATAAATAAAAAAGAAAAAAAAAATAAATTAATAACTTAATATTACACCTTTTAAATTCGAAAATATAAAAATTTAATTCAAAAAAAAAATTATTTTTAACACACATTGCACTATTTTTGGTATCTGTGTTTTTTTTTACCCACCAAAAAAAAAGATTAGAGGAATTATTTAAATTGTTTTTTTATTTTTTTTTTTTTTCTGAAAATTTACAAAAATAGAAATATTGTTGAAATAAATAAATTAAAATATAAAAAGAAATCTATTTTTAGTTATCTTCGGAAATTACTGCGGTTGTATTTGTTAAAACAGATGGTACAATGGGTGAGTTTGAAATATCAACTTCTTTTTCAACCTCTCTATCATTTAAATGTTTCTTGAGAATATCAGAATCTATTTTATGACGCATAAAGTGGTTTTCGATAGCATGGTTAAACTCTGACAGTTTTTCAACATTTACACAATGACCACAGTTTTCATACACTATAAATTCTGTTGGTGATAATTTGTTTTTTAAAGAAAAAGAGTTTTTAGGTTTTACCAAGTAGTCATCGGTACCAGTTAATACAAGGACAGGGAAATCTTGATTTTTAATTGATTCTAATCTTGAACTTGAAACATAATGTGTGAATATACATCTCATATGTCCAAATAAAGTTGAGATGGGTGGTGCTTTGGTACTGTTCATTTTATTTACATACTCTTCAATCAACTCTTGTCTTTTGGTTTTTGATGGATCTAACTCACTTTGAGATGATAAATATTGTTTTGAGAAAAGTGTATCTAAAAGTATATCGGCCTTCTTTGAAAAGTCTCTATGAAATAGTGATTTTGAGAACCCTAATGCTCCTTTCAATGGTGGGAATGATAGTCCTGAATGTGTTACTGCCAATGTCAATGTACGAATTCTTATTGGTGCTCTTACTGCAAACTCTATAGCAATCATTCCACCCATTGATGCACCTACAATATGAGCAGTGTCCCACTTTAAATGATCCATTAACTCTACTGCATCCAATGCCATATCACTTGTTGTATATCTCTTTGCCTTGCCACTATTACCAATACCTCTATTATCGAAAATACAAACTTCATATTCTTTAAATTTCTTGAAATATTCAACTTGTGGTATCCAATCTTGACCAGTTGCCATAAACCCCATTATAAATAAAACTTTGACTGGGGCATCTACATTTCCATATGTTTCATAATATAATTTTAATGGTCCTCCTCTTTTTTTGCCAACAATCGCATAATCTTTTCTTTCATTATTATTATTTGTGTTGCTAAAACTATCACTGTTGCTACTATTACATCCACTATCTCCACTAATTATTCCACTATTATTGTCCATTACAATTGTTTATTTAATATTTGATAAAAAATAAAAAAACACAAAATAAAATTTTTTTGAATTTATTTGTTTAATTTATTAATTATTATTTTTTTTTTTTATTACTTTTTTATAATTATTATTATTTAGGTTTTAATTAATAAAAAATCCTAAAAACTATTATTACTATTGTTATTACAAATTTTAATTTATTTATTATAATTTATCTTGAAATCTAATCTTTGAAAAATTTTATAGTGTTGCAAAAATATTATTAAATAAATAAAATTAATTTTTTTAATAGTTAGATTGGCTTTTTTATAATAATTTACAAATGTGTAGCATAAATTGAATAAAAAAAACAAAGAATAATATTTTTTTTCTTTTTTAATTTATTTAATTTTTTTGTGTATTTGAAATTTTTTTTTTTAAATATTGCCTTAATACCAAATTAATTTATTCAATTTAGGAAATAATATTTTTATAAAAATGAAAAATTTTAATTTAAAAAAAAATATTTAAATTAAAAAAAATAAAAAAAAAAATATTTTAAAAATAAAATTTAATATATATTACAAAGCATAACCACTACAGTTACTGTAAAAAACACAAATTAAAATTACCCTGTTTAAACACATCATAATTTCCTGATAAAAACCCAAACCAACCAAAAAAAAAAATCCAAAGTTATAAATCTTATACAAACACAAAAATACACAAAACACACCAACCACACCCCCAAGCTACTGTCCCACACAATTTTTTTTTGTTTCATTTAACTGTTGTAAAAAATAAAATTTAATAAACTAATTGTGGTTTAAATTTTATTTTATATTGTATTAGTTTCATTCTATTTTATTCCAAACCAACTAAATATTAACACATGATAAAAAACTTTTTAAAGAAAAAAAATTATATCATCATGACTCAATATTAAAAAAAAAAAACCTTTTAATCAAATCTTAAAAATTAAAAAAAAAATTAAATTTAAATAATAAATCTTATTTATTAAATGTTTTATGATTTGTGATCACAAAAATAAATTTATATTACTTATTTTTTAATTAAAACTTAAAAATGAATTAAAAATAAAATTAAAAATAAAATTAATTAAATAAAAGGCTTTTTAAGAATTTTGCTTCACTATTTTTTTTTTAACCCATCTCCAATATCTAAAAATCTTAAAAGTGTTTATTTTTTGTGAGTGTTCACGACCATCCACATCTTAGGTTTTGTTTTTTTTTTTTTTTTTTTTTTTTTTTTTGTATTTATATTAAAAGGATCGTGTAACGATTTAAAGAAAAAGGTGGGTGTGTGGGATAAATAAATTATTTCATTTTATAATAATCAATTTTAAAAAAATAAAAAAAACAAAAAAAATTGTTTTTTTTGAATTTTTTTATTTTTTTGAATTTTTTTTTTTTAAATTTTTTTTTTTTTATAATTTAATAAATAATAAAAATAATAATTGTCTCAAAATTTTTTTGGATATAAGAAAAAAATATAATATATATAGTACTGTTCATAATAAATTTATTTAAATATATACTTAAATATTATTTATATTTATTTATACTTCAAGATTTAGATATAATTGTGTACCACTCTATTTTTAAAACACTTATGTTTTATAAATAGGTGATAATTTTATAAAGCAATTTCTTTTAATAACTTGATCAAAAACATTATATTAGTGTGTTAATAAATAGTAATAATAGTAATAATATAGAATATTTTTATCCTACCAAAAATATAAATTAACCACACATACCCATATTTATAAATACAAATTTTTTAAAATAACACACCCAACATATAAACACACACCATATAATTTTAAAATTAATTTAAAATAGTTTAATTATATATTTATTTATATCTCATACATACACATACATATATATATATACTTTTACTTAATAATATCATTAAATAAACTTAAGAAATAAAAAAAATAATAAAATAAAATTAAATAAAATTTTAATTTATTTTTTCATTTGTTTTTTTTTTATATAATAATAAATATTAGAAATTATTTATTTTTATAAATATATTTATATAAATAACTTAAAAAAAAAAAAAACAATAATTTGTAATAATAAATCTTTTTATTTTAAATAGCAATAAATAAAATAAAAATAACAACAGTAAATATTATTAATATTAATAATAATAAAAATAATAATAAAAATCAAATGAGTAAAAGTAAAACATCAATAGTTCCACAAGATAGAGTCATTAGATTGTTAATTATAGGTGAAAATGGTGTTGGTAAAAGCTCTTTGATCCAAAGATATTATGATAGTATTTTTAATCTTAATGATCCACCTAACTTTTACGAATATTTGTAAGTTTATAAAATTATTAATTAAATAAAATAAATAAAAATTAAATTTTTTATAAATTATTTTTTATAGAAAGTTAAAAATGTAGATTATAAAAATCAAACCTATAAATTACAAGTTTGGGATACATTTGGACAAGAAAAAGGAATCCCATTTAACATCAACATATTATAGAGGAGCTCAAGGTATTATTATTGCATATGATTTATCAAATAAAGATTCTTTCGAAATGGTTCATTCAAAGTGGTCATTTGAATCAAGAAAATATATCCCATCTAACGCACCAATTATAATTGTCGGATGTAAATCAGATTTAGCAAGACAGGTACCCCAAGATAGAGTAATTAACTTTTGTAAAAATAATAATTTTTTTGGAATTGAATGTTCAGCATTAACAAATGAAAATATAGATCTAGTATTTTTGAAGCTTATCGAGTCAATAGTAGAGTCTAAAGCATATACATTAAGTGCATCATCCTATTCAATTTCATCTTCATCCTCATCCTCTTCTTCTTCATTAATGGCAACCTCTTCATCATCAAATAGTATGATTAATAACTCCTTAAACAATACTTCAAACAACACATCACAACCAAATAGTTTAAATGGTAATGGTAATAATTCAAGTATTACTACCAACTCCAATAGTTTAACAAATACTGTAAATAATAGTAATAACAATAATAGCGGTAATTCAAATAATTTGATAAATAACAATAATAATAGTAATATTAACAACACAAATAATAATAACAATAATAATAATAATAACAATACAAAAGAAAAAAGGCAATTCTTTTTTAATAATAAATTTTCATTAAAGAAATCAAATAAAAATGCAAATACCAGTTTAAATAGTTCAAATAGTAATGGAAATTTAAATTCACCATCATTACAATCAACCAATTCAAACAATAACCCACACTTTTTCTATATTGGATCTAGTAGAGATAATTTAAACAATAATGGTGGTAATGGTACTGGTGGTTTAGGTCTAGGTTTTTTAAATCATTTAAGAGATTCTCGAGATGATAATTTGTTAACAAGTAGTGTCAATAGCGTATCCTCCACAAGTAGTGGTAACAATTTATTAACCTCTAGTAGCTCAAGTGTAAATAATTCATATAATGATAATTTTAGTTTAAATAATACAGTCGGTATATCAAATCAGAATAACCAAAATAATAATGGAAACAATGGTATTAATAGTAGTAATGGTTTAGATAAAAATAATAGTAATAATAATATTAATAATAATAATAATAGTAATAATGGTAATAATAATAATAATGTAGATAAAAATAAAAAAAAGAATAAGAAAGATAAAGAAAAAGATAAGGAGACAAAAGAAAAGGATAAAGGTTTAAGAAATAGTATATTACCCTCAATATCCTCATCGACCAATAATGGCATATCGAATAGTAGCATTATAGGTTTAAATAGTAGTACCATGAATATTAATGGTAATATTAGAAATAGTAGTAATAGTAATGACTTTTTATTATATCAACCAACCCAACCGCCACCAAAAGAAGGCAGTGATGTTACTCCTGCTTCCACAAGTGATAATTTTAAACAAAGACGATTAAAAATTTTAAGTGAACCATTTCCAACCCAACCAACCCAAAAAGACCCAAATGGTAGAATTAACTATTATACTGCAATCTCAAATAGTTTGCAAACTAGTAACTCAAGTGTACCATCTCCAGTATTATCAAGTAGTAATGAAAATAATAATAATGTAAATAATCAACAAAATTTAGCAACAAATCATATAAATTTAAACCAACAAGTTTTGACTCATCAAGTGCATATCCCAACACAACTACAACAGCAAGATAGTAATCAACCAAATTCAAATAATTTTAATAATCTAAATAGTTTATTGACCAATTTATTATCAGTTAGTGGTGGATCACCCTCAAACTCACCATCTTTACCCTCCACACAACCCAACACTAATAAAACCAATAATATAATACCAACACCATTATCAAATGAAACCGATTTTAGTAATACTTATAATGAAGCTTATGGTCTTCAAAAAGAAGGAGATGAAACTAGTGGTAATTGGCATAGAACAACTTTAGAGAATTTACCAATTATTGTGAGGACTAACGTTGTTAAAAGTTCAAGGGATAGGGAAACCCCACCGCCTCAAAATTCAAGTACATTCTTTTCAAGTCTAACCATTTTACCAACTTTAGATAATAATCAACAACAGCAACAACAACAAAATAACAATACATTTTCAAAAGCATTTCCAAGTACTAGAGACCCTATTAATCGTGGAAATAGTGTACATTTAGGTTCAACAATAAGTGCTCCACCTCCAATTACACATAGCAATAGTTTAAATAATATTGGTATAAGTAATCATGGTTTAGTTCCAACACAGTTACAACAATTACAAGAACAACAAGAACAAAATGAATATGATATTCATACATTTATTGATCAAGCCCCACCATTATCAAGAACAAATACATCAACCTCAAATTTGGGTAATAATGTAACAAAAACAAATGATACCTTTAAAACCAATGATCCCACAGTCCAAACAACTACAAATAATAATGCTGAACCAATTATATTTTCAAATGTTCCAAAAGCTGGGGTTTCATTATCATCAAATTCAAATGCAATATTTTCAGCAGCAGACAATGGTTCATATTTACAAACTCCATATGATACTGAATCAATTATATCAGGTTATGATAGAGATGAACTTAATGACTTTGACTCTGAAGAAGAACAAAAACAAATTCAAAGATCTCAATCAGCTTTTTCAATTCATCCACGTACTATTAATAGGGGTGAAAGTACATTTTTAGGTAATAATAATAACAACAATAATGGTCATTTCAATGAAAGAAATATCAATACAAATAATAAAAATGATAATAGTAATAATACAAACAATAATAATAGCAATAATAATAGTTTTGATCCATATGAAATTCAAAATAAACAAAAATCACCTCAACAAAAAAACAATTCACCAACAAACCAAAGAAAAAAATCTGAAGAATTAGATGATCAATCAGATTTAAATGAAAGATTTCAAAGAGTAGTTTTAAGATTTAGAGAATTTCCATCTCTTGATACAAATTTATATAGATTACAAGAGATTTGTACAGATTTACTTCATATCTCTCAAGATTTTATTCATACAGTTAAAACCTATGGTAGAATTATTATTGAAGAACGTTATTTAAAAGAAAAGACAATTCAAAGCCGTTCAATGGGTGGTCATTTAGGTGGTGATAAATATATTGTAAGAAATGTATTGTTCAAATTCTCTGGTTCCTCAAATGTATATGACGAGTGGGGTGGTGCCAAAGTCGGAGGTCAAGAACTAAAAGGCTGTATGGCAACTTTAAATTGTCCAATTTCAGGTCTATGTGTACCATTAATGGCTCTTGTAGATTTCATGGGCTTTCGTTTAATTGCCATGAGTTATCTACCAATTGCATCAATTGGTGATAAACCAACAATTGTTTATGGTTCAAGCGACATGGGCAAAACAGTTCATGCAAATGAAAAGGTAATACCAATAATGAAATCCCTATCAAATATGTTAAATTTGAAACCCCATTTAGGAGGTACATCAGTTCCACCAACACTTTTATATTCAGCAACCGATATTGAAGGTCACATTGGTACAGATCGTCGTTTCTATCTCATCGATTTTAGTAGAACTTTCCCACCAACATATCCAGATGAAAATGTTTCGGGTGGTCATCTTTTCCAATTATTTAGACCAGAATTTTTAAAGAGTCATCCAAAAAAACTTTGTTCCGATGCTTTCAGTGGCTTTATCAAAAATGACCCAGATCGTCTGCATCATAATCAAGAGGTTAAAGAGGCATCCAATCGTTTATTAACCGAGTTAATCCCACGTCTTTCAACTCGTCTAAAATGGATGATTAAAGAGTCATTAAATACTGGAACATTATTAAGTGGCGATGTTCATATTCCAGAACAGTTCCACAGACAAGGTATCAATATGCGTTGGATTGGTCATATGTTGGTCTTAATGGACGATAGAGATTCATGTTTTGTACTTTTAATAGAAGCCATTGCTCGTGTTCTAAAGAATGACCTTCGTCGTAGATTAAGAAGCGAAATGAAGAAATATAACCAACCATTAAGTGCTCCATACATTGATTTAACAACCAAATTTTTAAATATGGTCTTTGGTGTTTCTGTACTACCGGAATATGATACCAATGAATTTTGGAATGTAACCGTCAAGAATGAATTGGCTTCTAAATTTTATATTGATAAAATACCTTCAGTTTTAACTCATCATCAATATTTCAAAAATAAAGGCAAATCTTCGACTACTACCACTACAACAACTGAAAATGATCAATCTGTCGAAAATAATAATAATAATACAGATGAAAACACAAGTACATTAAATACAAGCGATAATAATATTCAAACAAATAATACTTTAAATAATAATAACAATAATAATAATATAAACATGAACAATAATAATAACAACAATAATAATGATAAAAATGGTAATATTAGAAAATCAACACCATACCCATTAGCACCATCATCTCCAACCATTGGCAAACATAACGAACCATTACCACCAAGCAATTGGAAACTTCAAGATATTTTACATGAAAAATTAGATGACCATCATGGAGTTGTTCCAGTTATAGGACGTCATTTACTTTTCATTAGATTTAGAGATATGACACATTTAAAATTTAGAAAGAAGACAATCGAAAAAGTAGCAGATACCACAGGCAATCTTTGGAATCCATATCAACCATTCGATACAAGTGATTTAAAGAAAATTGGTGTACGTGTTAAACATACCGACTTGGTAACAAATGCTGAAGGCACATTCTTCTACGCTAAGGCTATGACTGAACGTTCAATTGGTACAGCCATTCATTTATTACACAAAGCTCGTAAATTTTTCGAGCTAGCCCTCATATCAAATCCAAATAATAAAGAAACCCTTCAATTATGTGCTCAAGCATGGTGTAAAATTTTAGAATTTAGTGCTAGTCAAGGTAAAAATATGTCGAATGTTAGATTTTCAATGTCTGATAGAGTTGTAATCAATACTGATCGTTATTTCCTTCGTGCCATTGATGCTGATACCAAAGGACCTTTGATTCTATTCTTCTATGCAAACTTTTTAGTACGTTGCGAGCGTTATGAAAAAGCTGAAGATTATTTCTTACGATCCCTAGAAGCGGATTCAAATAATTACCGTTGCCTAACTGCTTATGCAAACTTTTTAATAGAAAGAGGTTTCCCAAATGAATCTTCTTTGTTCTTGGAACGTGCAAAACAATGTAAAGCTATTTTGGTTGGTGGTTTAAAATAGAAAAATAAATAAATGCAAAAACGATAATAACTACAATAATAAAAAATACATTACCATATAAATAAAAACTTGTAAAGATTTATAGCTCGAAAATAACTTTTTTTTTTAACTAATTAAATCGATTTATAATTTTCTTCTTGGAACTAAAGAATTTAAAAAAAATAATAATTAAAAGATAGATTTAAGATAAAATTTTATAATGTACATTTTATTTTTTTTTTATTTAATTTTTTTTTTGGAATTTTTCTAAATGGATAAATCGGCATATCTCTTATCATTGATGGCAGCATACATAAGATCCATTGGGGTGATTTTTCCAGCTTCACCACATTCGATAACACTTTTTAAGATTGATGGTGAAAAACCAGAGATTAAACCAACATCAGCTTCGTTAGCATTTGAAACAGGGGTGCACATTGAATTACCATTGACATTCCAGTAAATCATAGTTGGTACTTTGTATCCAGCTTCTCTGTATCTATCCTTTAAAGCTTCATGATTTGATTTTCCGAATGAACGATCAGCAACGTCAAAAGCCATATCACTAATAACAAACATTTTCTTTGGCATGTCACTTTCTGGGAGTTTATTTTCGATGGCCTTATTCAAAATCATCTCGAAGACAGCATTAAAGTTGGTACTACCGCCCCATGGTGCATCCATAATGCTCTTTACCTTTTCATTTAAGGAGGCACCTTTGACCATATGGAATGATGGTTTTTCGTGGAAGGTAATAATTAAATCTTTGAATGGTTGGGCAGTAACAGAACTAATTAAAATACCTAAGGCAACTGAAACTTCCATTGGGGTACCTGACATTGAACCAGAGACATCAGAAAGAACAATACAGTCTTTAAGGGAACCTAATTTTCTAGTTTCTTCGACTAATACTTTCCATTGTTCTTCAATGATGGTATCAGTTTCCTTACCACCACCAAAGTATTTTTTGACGAGTTCATGTGGGAATAATTGCTTAGCATTAACTTTAGCTTCACCTTTTTCGAGGGCAGCGAGATATTCAGCAAATAATTCTGGTTCGTGTCTTTGGAAAGCAGTTTTTGAAAGCATCATACATCTTGATGGAACGGTATTGTAGTTGATTTCTTTCCATTCATTAGCGGCCATTTTGCACTCAACAATCTTAAGGTGTTTTCTTAATGGAACTAAATAATTTTTTCTGTAATCTTTTTTAGCAGTAGATTTATTGGTGGCTAAGAGAAGAGCTAATTTTTTAACAGCTTTGCTTTTACCGTCGTGACCTTCGGTTGGGGCCCATTTGGCAGCGAGAGAAATTTTAGCCTTTGGATCTTCTTGGGCGGCTTTGAGATCTTTCTTTAATTGAGTTGAGAGTAATTCAAGAGCTAATGGTTCAGCACTTGTACCGATTAATTGAACTACATCTTTATATGAACCAAATTCTGGGATCAATTTGAAATTTTTTTCGACGGTTGTTGGTGCTACACCGTTTAACCAATCTAAACTTTGAACGAAAAGGTTACGTTCACCTTTACCACCACGACAATCACGCATTTGGAAAATTAATTTTAATGTGTCAATTGGTGAAGTTTCCCATGAAGCGGCTAATAAAGCTTTTAATTCTTGTTCTTCTAAACCACGAGCAGATTTAAAAAATAAGTTTACTCTTGAATCAGTAATACCAGTTGGGGTGTCTTCATGTTTTGGGATAACACGTTTAGCAACCTTTTTTTTGTTTGGGTTGTGAACGTATTTTTTACCTGAAGCTTTTGAAGACATTTTTACAATAAATAAAGTGATAAATAAAATATAATAATAAATTTAAAAAAAAATAAAAAAAAAATCAAAGTGTTATATATGAAAAAAAATTAAAAAAAAAAAATTGAAAAAAAAATTAAAAATTAAAAAAAATAGCCAGAAAAAAATGAGAAAGCTTTCCCATTTTGAATATCGTGCTTGAAAAAAAAAAACCAAATCAACCACCAGAGTTTATCTTTTATTTTTCACAAAAATCAATTTTTACGTCATTTTAATCTTTTATTTTTAACAAAATTATTTAATTTTTCATTGTTTAATTTTCCAATTTTAAATATAAAATTTTATTTTTTTCATAATTTATTAATCTTTACTATTTTTAGTTATTTTTTCCATATAAAAAAAGTTAATGTAAATTTACAATAAATAAAAAAGAAATAATTAATGTAATAATACAAAAAAAATCTTTTTTAAAAAATATAAAATAAAATTTTTATAAAAATAATGGGCAAAATAATTAATTTAATATATTTTTATTTTTTTTTCTTTTTTTTTTTTTTTAACTTTTTTTTTATCTTTTTTTTTTTTCTAAAAAAAATCTATTTATGTTTGTTTTATTTTTGATTACTTTTTGATGCTACTTGAAAAACATAATTTAACATTTTTATTATTATCAAATAAATAATAATTTGAGAAATCTTTTCTGATGCAAGATCTAGTGAATACCAAACTGTTGAGTGGATAAACATTTGATGTTAAGAAATATTCAGCAAGATCTGGGTTATCTATGGTATGGAATGGAAGGTCAGTCTCTCTTGTGTGAGAAAAAATGATTTTGACTAATTCTACAAGTTCTGTAGAAAATAAACAAGAGTTTGGAATTTCTTTTAGTTCTATTTTTTTGATTTTATATTCGAAAATTTCTAAATATTGATCCTTGCCACTTTCATCTACACTTTCATTGTCTTCAGTATGGAGTATTGAAAAAATTAATTTGATGGTATCCATATCACCAATTTCTAAAGATTTAATAAAAATTTCATTTAGTTTTAAATCTTTTAATGATAATTCTATATAAAAAAAATAAATTAATATATTTTTTATAATTAAAATATAGGTTATAGTATTATAGTATGTATAATTACCTTTAAATGGGCTTTTATCAATTTGTATTTCATTATTTTTTAATTGTAATAAAATATTTTTATTTTCTTGATTTCTATTTTGTGAGTTATTAATGTTTTTAGAACTATTAATTTTTTCACTGTGATAAACTGTTTTATATTTTTTATTATTCATTTTTTAGAATTTATTATTAATAGAAATATTTATTGTTTGTGTGTGAATGAGTAATAGAAAAAAAAAATAATAAAAATAAAAAATTTAATTTAATATAAAAATGTGGGATGAAATTATTTTTTTTTTTTTTTTAAATTTCAACTTAATCTATTTTTTTTTTAATTTTATTATGAAGGTTTGATGAAATTTAACAAAAATAATATCTTTCTTTTGTAAAATGGATTTCATAAAAAACAATGGGGTGTGTTATATGAAAAACAAAATATATTTAAAGTAATGATTTCTTTAATATCAATAATAAATAAATTATTATTGGTTTATATGGTAACTTAAAAAAAAATAACCCCACACAAGTAACTTTTTATTATAAAAATAAAAAAAATATAACTTCCCTTTAACCTATTTTAATTGTTATTATATTTATTTGTTAATTTGTTTATTTTTCTTTAAGTTTATTTTTTTATTTTATTTATTTATACAACCATTTATTACTATTTTTAAATAATTAATTAATTAATTTTTAATTAATTATTTTTAAAAAAAAAAAATAAAAAAAAATAAAAATTTCAAAAAAAAAATAAAAAAAAATGAAAGAAAATTTATTTTTTAATTTATTTTTTTTATTTTAGTAAATCACACACATAATAAAATACAATACAAAATGTCAGATAGCGAGGAAGAATATAGAAGTAAACTTTACACCAAAACTGGAGATAAAGGAACATCAGCTTTATTCAACGGTGAAAGAAGACCAAAAAATGATGCATTCTTTCATAGTTTAGGTGCCATCGACGAATTATCGGCTACTCTTGGTATTGCGTAAGTATTATAAATTTTTTTATTTTTTTTATATTTTTTTTAAAAGTATATTAATATTTTTTTATTTATATTTAGCTTGGAACATTGCATTATCGAAAAGAATGGATTAGAAAGCTATTTAGAAAAATTAATTGTTGTAATGTTAGATATCGGAGCATGTGTTGCAACCCCATTAGATAATTCAAAAGATTCACAAATTAATAAAACCAAGTTTGATGATAATCGTATTAAAGTTATCGAATCATGGATTGATAAAGTTGATTCTGAATTACCACCATTAAAATGTTTTATTATTCCAGTAGGTATTTTAAATGACAATTTAAAATTATTTAATACTAATATTTCATTTATTTATTATAGTACAGAGTCGGTTTAGCTAGTGCACATTTACATTTAGCAAGAACTGTTTGTAGAAGAGCTGAAAGAGAAATGGTTGGTCTATCAAGACATTCATTCATTCCAGAATCAGTTTCAATTTTCATTAATCGTTTAAGTGATTTCCTTTTTGCTGCTGCTAGATACGCTGCTATGAAAAATGGTGCCAAAGAAGATTTATGGAGAGGTGTTACAAGTGAATTCTCTTAAATATAAATATAAAAATAAAAAAAAGAAATAAAAAAAAAAAAAAACTTTACAAATAATAAAAATAATAATAAATTTAAAATAAATAATACATAGTTTTATAACTTTATTTTTTTTTTTATTTTATTTTTTATTTTTTTTCAAATATTTTTTTCTTTTAATTTAATATTCTTCTTGTTCTTCTTCTTCATTGTCTTCATCACCGAGAGTTCTATAATCTTGTTCTAAAGCTGTGATTTTTAAAAAAAAAAAAAAAAAAAATTAATAATTAAAATAAAAAATAACAAATAATAATAATTTTAAAAAACATACCAAGAAGATCTTCACGAGCTTCAGCAAATTCACCTTCTTCCATACCTTCACCAACATACCAATGAACAAAAGCACGCTTGGTGTACATAAGTTCAAATTTATGGTTGAGACGAGAGAAAATTTGACTAATTGAAGTGGTGTTTGATAAAAGACAAACTGCCTTATCGACAGCGGCAAGATCCCCTCCCTCGACAGTGGTTGGTGGTGAGGAGTTGATACCACATTTGAAACCGGTACCTTGTGACCATGAAACGAATGAAACAGTTTTGGCTTTTTGAGCTTTAATATCAGCAACAGCAGCTTGGACCTCTTTTGGTGTAACAGAGGCACCTCTATAAAGAAGACAACATGACATATATTTACCAGTACTTGGATCACATTTAGCTAATAAATTTTGATTGGTGAAGGCAGCATTGGTAATAGCACTAATGGTAACATTTTCATGTTCGGCTTTTTCTTTTGAAACCAATGGTGCATAGGATGAAAGTAAAAAGTGGATTCTTGGGAATGGAACTAAATTGGTTTGGAACTCGTTGATATCAACATTTAATTCGCCTGGGAAACGAAGGGATGATGTTAATGATGAAATTACTTGTGCAATCAATCTATTAAGATTATTGTATGTTGGTCTTTCAACATTTAAGCTTCTTTTACAAACATCATAAATTGCTTCATTATCCAACACTATATATATATGCAATAAATAAAATTTTGGTTAAATTCCATATCAATATATAAAAATATAATTATAACAACATACTAAAGGCAACATCGGTGTGTTCTAATAATGAATGGGTTGAAAGAACACTGTTATATGGCTCGACAACTGCAGTTGAGACTTGTGGTGATGGATAAATACAAAAATCAATCTTTGATTTTTTACCATAGTCTGCTGATAATTTTTGTAATAATAATGAGCCAAAACCTGAACCACTACCACCACCAACTGAATGGAAAACAAAGAAACCTTGTAAACCTTCGCATTCATCAGTTAATTTTCTAATTGTATCTAATGATTTTTCTAATAACTCTTTACCAACTGTATAATGACCTCTAAAATATAATTTAATATTAATTTTTTTTTTCTTTTGATTCAATTTATAAATATTTTAATAATTATTAATTTACCTAGCATAGTTCTATATAAAGAAAAAATAAAGATTAGTTTTTTTTTTTTTAAATTTTGTTATTGTCATTGCTATTATTATTTTATTTAAATATTTACATTAGCAGCATCCTCTTTACCAGTAATCATATTTTCTGGATGGAAAAGACTTTTATAGTGACCAGTTCTAACTTCATCAATAACTGATGGTTCTAAATCAATAAATACTGATCTTGGTACAACTTTATTACCAACAGAAGACTCTTTGAAAAATGTTTCATATTTAACTTCTGATTTTGAATTTGGGTTTTTAAGTGTACCATCGTTACGGATTCCATGTTCAAGACCTATTTTAATTAATTATAGAGTAGTAATAATAGTAATTGTAATTGTAAATAAAGTTTATATAATATTTAAATTTTTCTATAATTGTTAAAATAAAGTACTTACAATATAACTCCCAACAACTATTACCAACTTGGACACCAGCTTGGCCAATGTGAATTGAAATAATTTCTCTCATTTATTAAAATTTATATATAAAGAAACAATGAATAAAATAAAAGAAAAAATTAAAAATAAAAAATGTGATAATTAAATTAATTTCCAAAAAAAAGAAAAAAAAAAAATTAAAAAAAAAAAAAAAAAAAAATAAAATTTAAAATAAAAAATAAAATTAAATTTTTGTTGGAGGGAAAAAAATTAAATATGGTTTTAAAAATTCTAGTTTTTGAGAAATAAAAGAGCAAGTACCGCTGCTGCCGCTATGGGAAGTGCATATTATGATGCATCACCAATACCTGTACTAAACTTTGCACACCACCGCCCACCCCCTTTCCAATACTTGAAATACCAGAACCAAGACCACTACTAATTTTGGTGGTTGAATTTTTGATTCAAAAAAAGAAGAAAAATAAAAATTAAATAAAATTTTTTACAAGAATATTTTTTTATTTTTTTTTATTTAGTTTTTAATTAGGATTTATGTAGATTATTTTTGTTTACAGCATCCGAAGAATTATATAAAAACACACCAAATACCACCATAACTGAACCAAGTAGTTTTGGGGATGAAATACATTGGTTGTGTTTAATTGGATCGGTAGGGTCGCAAAGGAAGAGAGCTGATGTACCAAAAACGATAATCGATTGTAAGGAATAAAGAACTCCCATAAAAACAGTACCATGCTCATCCAATATAGTGTACATACTACTTGATCTAGCAACACTTGTAACCATTAGAATTGAAAATAAAACAACAACCAATATTTGATCATTATAGGATGCTCTATTGATTGGTTGTTCAATCCATTCGGATCTATTATAAAATGTAACGGTGCAAATATAGACAATGCAGACAAGTACTGAATAAATTCCGTATTTTGAACCAAATGTAAAAGGTTTAACACCATCTTTTTTTAAAACTGATTCTGTATAGATATGACTTGCTGAAAAAATAAATGATGCTAATAATACCCAAAATGTACCAATATATAAAGCTAAAATAAATAAAATAAATAAATTGAAAAATTAATATTTATTACATATTGTAAAAAAAAAAAAAATTGGCATTACCTGAATTACTCGACTTGAGGGTATTATTTTGATTGGTTGAATCAAAACTAGTATCGTAACTAAGAGCTGTTTTTGGTTTAACTGTAACACATAATCCAAAGAAAATTATAAAAATCGATAACCATTTCTTTTTTGAAACATGTTTCTTTAACCAAAATTTGGATAAAATGGCAGCAAATATAATTTTTGATGAAAACAATACTTGAAAAAGCTTTTTTTAAAAAATGAAATTAATACTTCAATGTGAGGTTTAATGATTGATAGGTAGGCTACTTACACCACTTCCAACAGCAATTTGTCCAATTGTTGTTAATAAACTTGCTAAGCAATCGAAAATAGCCAAAACTAAATATCCTAAATGGCCCTGTGATTGTTTTTTAACAATAGTACTGGTATTATTGTTTAATTGTGGTGATAGTGAAATGGTTGACTCTTTTTTATCTTTACTATTTAAATTTGTGTTGTTTGTTGCAGTTGCAGTTGTTGTTGTTGTTGGGGTTGTTGTTATTACAGTATCATTCTTTTTAGTTGATTTATCAAAAAACTTTAGCATTGCATATCCAAAAAAAATACAAATGTTTGTCAACATTGATTTCGGGTCTAAAAATAAAAAAAAATTGGTATTAGCAACATATTACTTGATCTGTTGATATATACCATGGTTTAAACTTACTGAATGATATATTATTATAAATTAATTGTACTAATAGTGTATTGCAAACACCTGATACTAAAAATAAACAGTATAAGAAAAGTGATCTAATTTTAGTATCTTTTGTCGAAAAACTGCTGAGTACCTCTATACCATCTGGAGTCGCTGTGACTGAGGTTTGTTTGGTCATTGTTGATCTTCGATTCTTAGTTTCCATAAAACTAGACTATAAATAAAAAACACAATACTTTATACTATAAATTTTAATTTACTATAATAATTTATACTCTAAACTATTATAGTAATTAAATTAAACAGTAAACTTGTGTTGAAAAATAAAAAAAAAAAAACAAAAAAAAAAAATAAAAAAATAAAAAATTCTCTTTTGTTTTACTATTTATTTGAAGTATGTGTATATTCGGATGAATCAAACCACAAATAATAATCTTTTTTTTATTTATGAAAAGTTACAAATAAGATAATAAAAAACAATTTTAAAATAAAAAAAAATAATTTAATTTTTTTTTTTTTATTTTTTTTTAATTTTTTAAAAATATTTTTTTAATTTTTTTTTTTTTTATTATTTTATTTAAAAATAAAAATAATTTAAATATATAATTATTGTTAAAACTATTATTATCTATTTATTTTATTTATTATTATATAAATTTGTAAATATAAAACATATAAAATTATTGTAAATAAAAAAATATAAATATATACGAATAATATGGCATCTTCGATTTGTAAGTTATATTTTATAAAATATTATGTTTAATTATTAAATGGTTCGTTTATTTACATTTTCTATTTTTTTTTTTTAGACCATAGAAAAACTAGAGAAGAATATAAAAAAGAAAAAGAATTAGAGGAGGCTAGAAAAGCAGGTAATGCACCAGCAGAAGTTGATGAGGAGGGTAGAGATATTAATCCACATATTCCAGAGTATATTTCAAAGGCACCATGGTATTTAAACGCAGAAAAACCAACATTAACCCATCAACGTGCACCAGGATCTAAAATAACAGATAAAGGATGGTATTTAAGAGGAGCAACTCAAGGAGAAGCAGCAACAAAATATAGGAAAGGAGCGTGCGAGAATTGTGGTGCGATGACACATAAAACTAAAGATTGTTGCGAAAGACCGAGAAAACTTGGAGCTAAATTTACAAATGACGATATTAGACCAGATGAAGTTATTCAAACTTTAGAATTGGATTATGACTCTAAAAGAGATCCATACAATGGTTATGACCCAGCATCCTATAAACAGGTTATGGATTTATACGAAAAAGCCGATAACGCAAGAAAAAAGAAAAAGCTTCAAGAACTTATTAAACAGCATTCAAAAGATGGTAAAACTGATATTATCGATGATGAACAAATTTCAAAAGAAATGTTAGAGAATGCCGAAAAAGAAGAATCTTATGACAGTGAATCTATTGCACCCATTCAAAAACTCGACCCTAAATCAAGAACTACAATTAGAAATCTTAGAATTCGTGAAGATACTGCCAAATACCTTTACAATTTAGATACCAACTCTGCATTTTACGAGCCTAAGAGTCGTTCTATGAGAGACAACCCTCTACCTAATGCAAACCCCAACGATATTAAATTTGCAGGTGATAATTTTCAACGTGCATCTGGTGAAAGTAAAGATTTTCGTGACCTTCAATTATTTGCGTGGGAAGCTCAATCAAAAGGTCAAGACATTGATCTTTCTTCCTCACCTTCACAGGCTGCACTTTTACATGCCGAATTTTTAAAAAAGAAAGAATTATTAAAGAATCAAGCTAAAAATCAAATTCTATCAAAATATGGTGGTGAAGAATATTTAAAAAAAGACGATAATGAAAAAAATGAAATCTCAATCCCACAATCTGAAATTTATACAGAATACAGCTCTTCAGGTAAATTAATTAAAGGTGAAGAAAGAGTAATCAAAAGCAAATATGATGAAGATATTTATTTAAATAATCACACTTCAATCTGGGGTTCATATTGGGAAAATGGTCAATGGGGTTTTGCATGTTGCAAACAATTAGTCAAAAATGCTTATTGTACAGGTGAACAAGGTAGAAAACTAAGAGATTTACAATTATTAAAACAAAAACAACAACAAGAAGAAAAACAAAAACAACAACAAGACGAAAATAACACCACCACAACCAATACTCAATCATCATCATTATTAGAACAACATTTAAATAAACTAAATGAAGAAACTCCCTCATCATTAAAAGAAAAAGAAAAGGAAAAAAGAAGAAAAGAGAAAAAAGAAAGAAAAGAAAAAGAAGAAAAATTAAAAAAAGCTATAAAAGAAGAAGAAGATTACAATAAAAAATCTCAAGAAAAAGACGAAAGAAATATTAAATATAACTCACTCTCAGCTGACGACTATAATGTATCTGATGAACAAATGGAAGCTTATAATTTAAAAAGAAAAAGATCAGATGATCCAATGGCAAATTTTAAAGATGAAGAATATTAATATATATATTTTCTTTTTTTTTTTTTTTTATTTTGGTTTCAAAAAAAAATAAAAACAATGTTGTCGTTTTTAAAAACTTAGATTTTTTTTTTTTTAAATTTTTTTTATATCTGTTTAAAAATTTTAAATGTATTATGTTATGTTGATTTTTGATTGATCATATTTTTCAATCTTTATTGTTGGCTCGTTTTTTTTTTGATTGTTATTTTTATTATTTTTTTTTGGTCAAAAAAAAACAGTGTGGTTGGTCAGGTGTTATTTCCAAAAATATCAAAGATTTCAATATTTTTTTCTTTTCTTTATCCTAAAAAAAAAAAAAAAACAAAAAAAAAAAAAAGAAATAATGCCAAATTGCCATTGTATGCACAGTATTATAATATTTAACCTAGTTTATCTAAACTGGGGATGAAAAAAAAAAAAAAATTAAAAATAAATAAAATAAATAAAAATTTAAAAAAAAAAAAATTAAAAAAAAATTAAAAAATCAAAAAAATATTTACGCCTTTTTTTTTTTTTTTTTTTTTTTTTTTTTTTTTTTTTAATTTTTATCTATCCATTATTTTTTTATTTTTTTTAATTATTTATGTTTAGACATCTTCTATTTAGTTATCTAAATAATATCAATAGCAATTCATCAATAAATAATAAAATAATATATAGAATATTCAGTTATTCTATATATTTTTAAATATATAGTTATTTATTTTTATAAAAAGAATATAAAAATAATATAATGGTTACAAATAAAATAATACCCTCTCGGATGAAAATCCCTAGTGTTATTTTAATTATATTTATAATATCATGTAGTTTAATAGGGTTATCAAAATCTTTAGATGATAACAGTAATAGTAATAATAAAAATAATATAATAACAAAAAATAAGATTAAAATAAATAGTTTAAATCATAAAATAAATTTAGATAATAGTATTGAAAATTTTAACGATATATTAAATACTTGTAATAACGATAATAGTAATAGTAATAGTAATAATAATAATAATAATAATAATTGTAATAGTTTAGAAGAAGAAGAAAATATAAATAATAAAGAAGACGAAGAATTGTTATATGAAATCGAAAGAATTAAACAAAAGAAACAGTTTTATAAATTTACAGATGACCATTACAAAGAAAACTATGGTATAGATTTAATGACAATGTTGGGTGACAACAGTAAATTGGGGGATGATTTACAAAACAATACTGTAACAGTTTATATGAGCGGAGGTCCAACTGTGTGTGCAAATTGTTCTGGTGCTTCAAACAATCACAACTACGAATATGTTGACCAATATGCTTGTAAATCTCAACCAGAATGGAACGGAGGGTACATTAGTTTTCAAGATCCAACTCCAAATAGTGAGTTGGTAGTAGTTAAAAAGATTAGAATAGAATTTACATCTCTTTATCAATATGAGGCACCAGGTGGTACAGTTTTAATTATTATCATCAATGATGCCGATACTATCGATGTTTTTGAAGTAGCTGTAAATTCAACCTCATTTGGATGTCCAAATTGTCAACTTGATAATGTTCCAGAAATCCAACCAACATCATTCATTAATGGTGTACCCTCATATAAGTAGGTTATTTTTATCATTATCATTATTATTTTTGTTATTAAACAGTATAGGTTATTAACCATTTAATAAAATTATTATTTTATTTATAGGTATCAACAAGAAAATAGTTTGTTTTTTAATTTTGTTAATCCAAATATATCAACTTGTGTTGGTAAAATTTCAATTACAATATTTTATGGTGCAGTAGGTTATAAGGTTTCACAAGTTTCTCCATTCCTTGGTCCATCAACTGGTGGTACAAGTGTTACTATTGTAGGCACCAAGTTTTATAATAGCAATTCAATTTTATGCAAATTTGGTAGTCAAACTACAATTGGATCATTTGTTAACGAAACTGCTATTACTTGTTTAACACCACCCATCAACTCTACCAATCCAAAAGATTTCAATGTTACTGTTCAAATTTCCGAGGATGGAGGATCAAGCTATTGTGCACCATTAGCAAATATCACATTTACTTATACTTTAGAACCATTACCAATTATTCATCCACCAATTGACTATCAAAAATTAATTTGGATTATTATTGGTGTCAGTATTGCTGTTTTAATTGTAATCGCTATAGGTATATTCTTTATTGTTAGGTTAAGAAATAAAAATAGAAAGTTAAATGGTAGTAGACATAAGTTACCAATTGGTGGTAATGACGATGAAAGATCACCATTATTGAAAACAGGTAATTATATAATTTAAATTCAATATATTATTAAATGATACATTATATTAAAATTATATTTTTAATTATTATTTCTATCTATAGATTATAAAACATTATTCGAAATTAAACCAATTGATATTTCAGAAATTTTAGTTCAAAATAGAATTGGTAGAGGAAGTTGCGCCGAGGTATATACAGGCACATGGAGAGGTATCACCGTTGCAATTAAAAAGGCTAAACTATTAAACGAAGATGATCAAGACTTTTTAAATGAATTAGCTCAGGAGGCCACTATTATGAGTCAACTTAGACATCCAAATATTTGTCAATTTTTAGGTACCTGTAATAACCCACCAGAAATTTTAATCGTTATGGAATATATGCCATTAGGTAGTCTTTATAGGATTTTACATGACCCTACAGTTCAATTAGATTGGCCAAGAATGAAATCAATGGCATTAGACATCGCTAAAGGCATGGTATGTATCATCATTAAAACAATAATATTATTCACTGATGTATTTAAAATATTAATATTTCATTACAATTGTTATTTTATAGAACTACTTGCATTGTTGCGATCCAATTGTTATTCATAGAGATTTAAAATCACATAATTTATTAGTAGACGAACATTTTAGAGTTAAAATTTCAGATTTTGGACTTAGTACTAGATTTAAAAAGCATCTTGATAAAAAAACAGCAATGACACCTGTAGGTACTCCATGTTGGACAGCACCAGAGGTGTTAAGAAATGATGCCTATACAGAAAAAGCTGATGTATTCTCATTTGCTATTGTTCTTTGGGAAATAGTTACAAGAGAGGATCCATATCAAGGTATGCCAACATTCCAAATTGTCATTTCTGTAGGTCAACATAAATTAAGACCAATTGTACCACCACAAGTTTCTGCACCTTTCACTAGATTAATAACTGAATGTTGGTCTGAAGATCCACAACAAAGACCTTCATTCCAAGAGATTGTTAAAAGATTAGAAGCAATGTAAAATTAAAAAATATTATTTTATATCCATCAATCATCAATAAATAATAATCAATCAATCAATCAATCAATCAATCAATCAATATTCAATTATAAAACCAAAATCAATTACCATAATTCTATAGCTAATTTTTAGCCAATATAATTAATAATATAAATAGTAGAAAAAAAAAAAAAGTTTAATTATAATAATAGAAGAATATAATTAATCAAAATAAAAAAATGATCAAAAAATAAAATTAAAAAAAATTATAAAAATAATAATCAACACCAAACAAAACAATACAACTAAAATATTATCATTAAATTTTTATTAAATAAATTATAATATTTTGTTAATAAAAATAATATATCCTTAATTCAATATTTCTTTATTTTCTTTTTTTTTTTAATTTTTTATTTTTATTTTTTCTTTTTTTAAAATTTTTTTATTTTTTTTTTAAATTTTTTTTATTTTTATTTATTTTTTTTTTTTTTTTTTTAATTTCATTGTAGATTATTAATAAATCATTTTATAATATTATATCAAAATGTCAACTAAGAATATGGTATGGATAAACAGAATTGCGTTTAAATATTACAGATATATGTAGGATGTGTTTATTAATCAGTATTCATTAATATTAATAGATAAATAAAGGTGAAGAAATCATTGAAACAGAAGTCTCTGCCGATGATCAAAAATTAATTAACCTTTTTGGAAGATTAAATAACAGAAAACACGAATTACTTAGAGAAAAAAAAGTTAAACAAGTAAGATCTTATAATACAGTTATTTTTGATGTATTATCAACAATGAAAAAATGGTGATATTAATTCTTTTTTTTTTAACAACAAATCAATTTATAAATTTTATTATAACATAATCAAAATAATAATAATAATAATAATAATAATAATAAATAATTAATGACAAATAAAAAACTCAATCAAATATTAAAATTAAACAACTTATTGTTATTATTATAGGAAGAATTAGAAAAAGCAACTGATGCTAATGATGATATATTTTTAGTTGATGATGAAGATACCAAATTTCAATATTCAATGGGTGAAGCATTTTTAGAACTTAATAAAGAGGAAACTGAAGAAATGGTCAATTCTTATATTTCAAAACTTGAATCAAGCATCGAAAAAATAGATCAAGATCTTCAAGATATTAGTGATAAACATAACGAATTAAAGGTTATTCTTTATGGAAAATTTAAAAATTCAATTAATTTAGAAGAATAAATAATATAAATAAAAATAAAAATAATATAAAGAAAAAAAAAATAGAAAATATAAAATATAAAAAAAGTGTGCTAGCAGTTTACAAATATTTACTTTTATTTGGGTTTTATTTATTTATTTATTTATTTATTATTTTTTTTTTATAGAATATTTAATTATATTATGTAATTAATCCATTTCATCCATTGGGGCAGATGTATCCATATCGATTGATGAACTACCCATACCACCCATACCACCCATGCCGCCCATACCACCAAAACCACCTAATAAACTTGATAACATTCCTCCTAATCCACCTTGATTTGAAATTGGTACTTTATAAAATACATTTGCGATTTGTTCTAAATACTAAAATAATATTAATAAATGGATTATTAGTAAATGTGTGTTAATATTTTCTTTTTTTATTAAAAGTGATATTTGTTGTTGTTATACATACTTTAAAGAATTGTGGATCTCTTTTTAATGATCTTTCATATTTTTGCTTTAAAATATTGAATAATGGTAAAGCATCACGCTGTAAAGTTAATAAAAGATAACGGTCGTAATTTAAAAGTGGTGAAAATTCAGTAATTCCTTCGGTGAATAAATCGAAAAGAGTTTGGGCATCTTTTAAATTGTTTACGCAAAGATAGCCAAAAATTGCTCTGGTAATATAAAGATCCTTTTCTTCTTCGTCAACTTCTGATGTCCATTCTTTTAACATTTTGTTAAATTCGCTTGGTGAGTTACCAAAAATGAAATGCTTTTGAGCATCAATAAAATCACCTTCTTCAGTTAATGAAATTGCTAATAAAGTGTGAAATTCTGGTACACCTTTTTTATTGCTACTGTTCTTTGAACTCCAATCGATTGCCTCTCTCATAAATCCAATTTTACCTTGACATTCACCTTTAAAACCTTTAAATATTGTTTCAATTTTGTCTATAAATAAATGAATGAATGAATGAATGTTAATATATTTTAAAAAAAAGTTTTTGATTATTATTATTATTATTATTATTGATTATTATTATTGTTGGTTATTGATGGTTACTTTTTGAATCAGTATCATATGGAATATTGAAGTTTCTAAAAGTTTCAACTATTAATTTGGCTAATTCAGCTGCGCAGTTCCATTGAGCATATTCTTGAAATTTTTTACAACCAGATTCTAATAAATTAATAGTTTCTTGGATTTTCTTTTGTGATGATAATCTGAAATATAATGCTCTGTAAGATTGGAGAATATCATAGGAGTTTCCATCTTTGAACTTGTTTTCGGGATTGGTTTTTTGTCTTTGCATTTGTGTGTGGTATCCTTTTTAAATATTTAAAAATAAATATATTAAATGAATTTAAAAAAAAATAAAATAAAAAAAAATAAAATAAAAAATTAAAAAAAAAAAAAAAAAAAAAATTAAAAAAATTTTTGTTTTTAAAAAAATAATATAAATAAAAAAAAAAAAAAAAATAAAATACATCAATTACTTTTTGTTAGGTGTCTCTAATGGAACTCAGTAATATCATTTCAAAAACAGTGAGTAACGACAATAGTAGTAATAATAATAATAATAATGATAGTAATAACAACACTCATGATAATGATACGATATGCATTAAAAGTAAAAATGGGATTGGCGATCCCCAAGATAAAATTATCTTGATCGATGATATTGAAAGTATTAAACAGGATTCAAATTGGGATTGTGGGGTTGCATGCATTAGCTCTGTTTTAAAATGGTCAAATAAAGAAAACTATCAATTTGGAATAATAAATGAAATTATAAACACAAAAAGTATATGGTCGATCGATTTGTCAAATGCCCTAACTCAATTACAAGTGCCGCATATTTATTATACAAATTCAATAGGTGTAAGAAATGATTATAGCGAAAATAAATATTATAAAGATAATTGGGAATCTGATACATTAAGAGTGAATCAGCTATTCTTTAAATCTCTAAACACTGCACCATGTAATTTGGTTTTAATGTAGGTTTTATAAAAATTAATATTAATTTAAAAGTTTTTTATCAATAAACTAATTTCTTTTCTATTTAGTGGATCAGAAAAACAATTACCAATTCAACAATTTATAGAACACATTAGTAAAAAACTACCAATCATTTTATTAGTAGATTCAAATTTTTTAAATTGTAGTAAATGTAATACTAAAAATGATATTTATGATGATAATAATAATAATAACCACATCAGTACTAAATTAAATAGTGGCGACTATTTAAATGAAATTCGAGATAATGTTGCTAATAACGAAAATGATAACACTAATAATATTGATAATAATAATATATATAATAAAACCAATAATACAAATAAAATGAATGATGATTCATTTTTTGGGCATTATATAGTTTTGGTTGGGTATAACTATGAAACAAAGGAAATAATTTACATAGATCCATCTTCAAATCAATGTAAGTTTATATTAACCAATATTCAATAAATAGACTTTTATTAAAATGTCCCATTTACTAATTAAATATTTAATTTACAATAGTATATTGCACAATAAGCGAACAGGACTTGGATAATGCTAGAATGAAACCTGGTACCGATTTAGATTGTATTTTCATAACAAATGAAAAATAAAATAAAACAAAATAAAATAAATATTGTAAATTTTTGTAAATAGAACTCAAACCAAAAAAATAATATAGGAATTAGTTTTGTGTATATTTTACAAATTTTATTTTCTTTTATATAATTATTGATGTTGTTGTTGTTGCTGTTGCTGTTGTTGTTGTTGCTCTTCACTATAGTTTATCGATACTTTGCAAATCCATTTTGCTATTTCCTTTGCTAAATCCTTTTCATTACCACCATAAAAATGATCAACACCTTCAAATATTTTAGATTCTAATTTATCACCTTTAAAATCTTTTAATCTATAGTTGATAATAAAAATGAGTTAGTAAAAAACCAATAATAATTATAAATATAATTGTATATATATTTACCTTTTTTTAAAAGTTGAAACACTTGTAAAGTTATCAGAATCACCAATTAAAAAGTATTTTGGTTTTAATGAATTTGAAGCATGTGGTAAAAGGCTACCTAACAACATTAGTGTCAATGGTCCAAATGGATAGCTAATAGCTGAAAATCCCAAAATATCTGGGTGTTCATCTGCTATGGATGAACCAATAACTGAACCATATGAATAACCTACAATTAAAACTTTTTTAATAGTTGGTACATCTTGAATTGGGTGTTGCACATGTGAATGAGTATCAGTATTGTTATTGCTGTTGCTATTGCTATTAATACCATTATTTAATGATAATAAATAATTTACTGCAGCCAATGTATCTAGTCTTTCAGAACCTCCAAACCAACTGCCGCTACCCTCTGATTTACTGACACCTCTAAAATTAAAACATAAAGTTGGTATTTGTAAATAAGTTGTAAAATAATCTGCTACACCCAAAACTACATTATTTCTAAATGAACCTCCCAACATTGGATGTGGATGTGTTAAAACAATTGCTAAATCTTTACAAAATTCTGGTGGTTGTGTTCTTTTTTCACTCTTTACATAACTTAATAACCCCTCTAATTTATATGTTTTCTTATTTTCTTCGACTGGGATAAAGACCCCTCTTCTTTCTACTGAATCTGATTTAATAAACTTTACTTTTAATACATCCTGTTGATTTTCCTCCATTTAAAATGTAATATTATTATTTCTAAATAAAATGAGAAATGATATTATTAAAAAAAAAAAAAAAATTAAAAAATTTTTTTTTTTAAATTTAAAAAAAAAAAAAATTCAAAAAAAAAAAGATAAATCTAAAATAAATTTTTTTATAAGGAATAGAAATTAAATTCCTTATAAAAATAGTTTTTATAATTTCTAAAAACATCATATTATAAAATAAATAATATGATATTGTTGTTTATTTTATTATCAATAAATATATTTTTTGTTTATTATTATTTATTTATTTTTTTTTACATTATATTACAATTTTCTTTTTTATTTTTATAAAATTTTTGATTTATAGAATTACCATTTAAATCAATTTTAGTATTGATAATTTTGCATAGATCTTGGTATAATGAAGATTTATTTTTGATAGAGTTACATGATAAGTCCATATAGTGAATTGAATGATTGGATTTCAAGAGTTTAATGAAATGGTTGCAACCTGAAGCTTTGATTTCGTTATTGCTTAAATTTAATCGAGTTAAAGAATGATTGTTTTTTAATGATTCTGCTAAAACTTGAGCACCTTCTTTTTTCATACCAACACAATGTAAATGCAAACTGGATATTGATTTATTTTGAGTTAGAGTTTTTGCGATTTCAGCGCATCCTTGAGGCCCAAATATATTAAAGCTTAAATTTAAATCTTGTATAGTATTGTTTACAGATAAAGCTTCGCATATAATAGCCAAAGATTCTCTATTAATTTGATTCGATGAGAAATCTAGTGTTTTAAGATGTAGTGTTTGAAATATCATGTTCCTGATTAATGTTGATTCTTCGAATGATATCATCATACGACGCAAGTAAAGTGATTTCAATGAAGATTCACTTTTACATAGTGGGTCTGTTGGAGCCAATGCATTTAGAATTGAACGTAATCCGATTAAAGATATCCTATTTTCGCTTAAATCCAATGACTCTATAGAATAGTTATTTTTTAACAATATATTGGCAATATCTTCTGCACCGTTGGGATATATTCCATTGTTTGATAGATTGATCTTTCGGATTGACTTGTTTTGCCTTAAATACTCTAATAGCATTCGTAAACCTTCAGTACACAGTGATATATTTGACAGATTTATTGATTGTAATTGAGGTAGTTGGGGTAAGAGATCTTTGATTAATTGTATACAGTCTAAACCTATCCTATTGTTATTACTAAGATCCAATGACAATAAATTTAATTTTAAAAATGGTTTATGTGATAATTTTAAATTATTTTTAATTAAGTCATTGGTATTTATTGATTTAAATGTTAATTTATCTTTTTGTTCTTTTAATTCCTTTGATGATGAATTTTTATTCTCCCTACTCCTATTATTATTATTATTATTAATATTATTATTATTATTATTATTATTATTATTATTATTATTATTATTATTATTATTATTACTATTATTATTATTATTATTATTATTATCTGGATCTTTATCTGTATCTGTGTCTGTATTGTTTAAATCATTTGTTAATGAAATTGATAATAAATTATTATATGATAATTTAATTGGCTCATTTGAAGTTGGAAGAGATGATGATAGACTGTTAATACTGGTGTGATTTAAATTTGATAGTGAATTGAGGGAATTATTTTGATTATTAAAAAATATATTTGAATTTTTTATATTATCAATTTGATTTTCTTTATGGGACTCGATGAGTGTCTGAAAAAGGAATTCTAAACCCTGCTTTGTAAAATGGTTGTGTGAAATATCTAAATGCTGTAGACAATTAAAATGGTTCATTTTTAGTGATTTTGATAATGTTATTAGATGATTATCGTTGAGCTGAACCCCCTTTAAAACCAGCTTTTTTATATTATAAACCAATAGTATATTGGATATTATTTCTACACCTCTATCTGTCAAATCTATTGAAGTGATTTCCAATGTTTTCAATGGTGGCTGATACAGTATTGATGAAGATTTGCTAAAGAAAGGCATTGTCAACAATGACAATACCTTGAGTAATGACTCTGTTGATTGTGGTTGATTCACTATAACCTGTTCCAAAGACTCATTAAACTCTTGTTTTAAAATGGAGCACATCATCAATGATCTCATGGTTGCATCACTACAATTGTTAAAGCGGAGTGTCTTTAATGATTTTGGAATTATATCTCTCCAATATTTGCATACAACCATACAACATAAAAAAGGTTCACTTGGATAAATTCCATTATGAACATAAACTAATATTTTTAACAATACAATTTTTGGTATAGAATTATTTATATTTAAAAAATTTATTAAAATTGAATTATTATTTATTGTAGTGGTTGTAGATTTCATTATTTGTTAAAAAATATTAAATAGTAAAACTACTATTTTTTAATAAATAATAATTTTACTATTACAATTATTATACTATTATATTTAGGTATTATTTCTTTTGTTATTATTATTATTTTTATTATTGTTTTTTTTTAATGTCGATATTTTTATTATTATTTTCAAATTTATTATTATATTTTTAAAAAAAAATTTTAAAATAAAATCTAAAAAAAAAAAAAAATTAAAATTTTAATTTTTATAAAAAATAAAAAATAAAAAAAAATATAAATAAATAAATAAATAAATAAATAAATAAAAATAACAAAAATAAATAAGTTTCCAATTATATTATTATTATTATTATTATAAAATGAAAAAATTTAAATAAATTATTTATTTAATTTAGCTTTTTTTTTTTTTTTTTTTTTTTTTTTTTTGTTTTTTTTTTTAAATAATTGGATTATTATTTATTTTATATTTGGTTTTTGATTTGTTTTGTTTTGATTTGTTTTTTTTTTTTATATATATTTATAAATTATAAAAAAAGAATTGAAATTATGATTTTATTCAACTTTAGCTTTTTTATTACCTTTGAAACCTTTACCTTTACCAGCGAATTTTTTGAATGGTTTTTTGCCACCTCTATTATTATTTCCTTTTTTGTTGTTGTTGTTACCAGCATTCTTTTTCTTTTCTAAAATTTTTTCCCATTCAGTTTTTTCTTCTTCACCTTCCATGATTGAAAAAGTTGGAACTTGGCCACCGATTTCTTTTTTGGCAGTAGTAAGAGCTTCAACGGCACGTTGAGCAGATTCGGCAGTCTTGAAACGAACATTACCGTCTACATCATCATGGTTGTAACCGACGAATTGAACATCACCATATTGTGAGAAAATTTCTTTAATATCACCTCTGTGAATATTTTTACCAGCACCAATACCTTTGAAAACAACAATGCAACCTGGAACCATAGTTTCTTCAGCTTTTTCTTCGGATTTTTCTTCATCATCATTTTCACCATCTCTTTCAGCTTCTTTCTTGGCCTTTCTTTTCTTATCTGAGTTTGCTAAAAATTTCTCTTTTTCTTCTTTCTTTTCATCATTGAATTGTTTAAATGTTTGATAGATTAATTCGATATCACCATTGAGTTTTGGTTTTTCGGCAATGATTTTAGTGACGGTTTCTTCAGTATCGAAATCTACTAATAATGAACCTTTAAATGATTTATCGGTCTTCTTTCTTAATCTAACTGATAAAGTTTTACCGAATTGGTTGAAGAATTCTTGTACTTTTTCAATTGTGGTGTCTGATGGCCATCCTTTGCTGTATAATGTTTTACCTGTATCAATTGATTCTGGTAATGGGTCTAATCTTTTAACCATTTTACCATCTTCGCTAACTTGTAAACGAGTTGATTTCTTTAAGGATTCTGTAATAAATTCTAAATCAGTTGAAATGGCTTTCATTCTATTGAATGAAGCAATAATTTCAATTGAAACGTCTATTTGTAATAACAAATAATTAAATATTAGTATACTATATTTTTGTTATTATTTACAATTTGTTTTAAAAGATACATACAACCATCAACATTTTTAGCAAGTTCTTCTTTTAAAAATTTATCTCTGAGTAAATTTGAATCGCTGAAATAGTATTCAACTTGTTTTAAAATTTGATTACTTGTTTCGCTTGTATTTTCTGCTGACATCTTTATATTGTATATATTATCCAAAAAAAAAAATTAAATAATTTTATAAAAAAAAAAATTTTGAAAATGTCGTATTTTTCGTTTTTTTTTTTTTTAAAAAAATTAAAAAAAAAAAAAAAAAAAAAAATAATTTAAAAATAAAAAAACTAATTATTAAAATAAAAAAAACTATCAACAGCAAAATGAGTTTTAAAAAAAATAAACTATTTTTAAATAACTGAAAAGTGAAATTAAATAAAAAATAAAAACATTTGTGTGTTAAAAAAAAATAAATAATTTTTCTTTTTAAAAATTTTTTTTATTATTTTTTTCCCAATTACTTTAATATGAGAAAATAACGGGTTTACGATTTCTTATTTAATTATTTTTAAAATAGCAAGAAGATTTTATTGTGATTTAAATTTAAATATATCATGGTGTTTTATCTGTTTAACAAAAGAAAAATTTTAAATAAATTTAGTAAATTTAAAATTCTGTGGGTTTTTTCTTTAAATTAATTATTATCCAAATAGGATAGATTAAAAATTGCAAACCTACTAGTATTTAAACTTGTTGGTTGCTATTAGGAAATAGTGTATAACTAGCATTAACTCTGCATCCACTTATTGGTCATTTGCAAGAAGTGTTAGTTCCATGCGTAAGGAACAAATATTAAAATTTGTCTATTTTATTTTAAATAATTAAATAAAAAATATATTGTTAATGGGTTTAATAATTTTATTTATTTATTTTTGAATTTTAATCAGTGGGAAATTAAAAAGATTTTTCTCAAAAATATTATTGAGAATTTTTTGTGTATAAATAATCATATAAATAAAAAAAGAATGTATTTATTTTATTTAAATATTTTATATGGTGTTTTAAAATAATTTATCTTTTGTCCTAATTATAATTGGTTTGTAGTTTGAGGGCTTTTGGTCAATCTCATAGTCTTCAATAACTAGTTTTAATGTTGGGCCATTGATTGGAAGGTTCTTTATTTTTTCAATTAATACAGGGACTTGGTCGACAGTAATTAATTCACTACAGTTGCTTACGGCAGTATCGACATAACCAGTAATTGAATTTTCCTTTAAAAAGAATGAAAGCTTAGATCTGATATTTATCATTTCTATTTTTTCTTTGTTATTTGCTTCGATTTCTTTTTTCAACTCAATAGTTGCCTCTTCTCTGAGTTGAATGGCATTGGTAAGTATTTTAATTTGATTAGTCATAATCATTTGTGGAATTTGGATGATTCGTATTGATAAAGCGTGGATTAATCTTCTTGATTCATTTAGACTTGTAGTATTTCTGATATTGTGTGGTGGTAACAAGTTAAGATATGATATTAAATTGTTGGTTGATGTAACAGAGGTCTTCCAGCTATTTGAGAAACCCTTAATTTCATCTTCGCTGAACTTGATACCTTGTTTAAGTGCTGCAAGGAATCTAAAAGATTCGCTATCAAAGCAGAAGGTATTTGAAGATGTATACTTGAGATCTGGGACATTTAAACTTTGAACCATTTTTGAAATCATTGGATATGTGTCACCTGGTTGGTAAAATGTTGAACGTGAGTTTGTGTAACAAAATACAATGTTTTTGGCTGCATTTTTATTAAGTTGTGATAATATACTTTTAAAAAAATATTTTTCAATATGAGTATCTCTTCCTGTGTCTGGTTTTAAAAGAATACAAATACCATCAATTGTATCGAATCTCGAGATATAGTTAAGAATGTGTTCAAAATTTGATTTAACACCTCTAACATCACCAATACCTGGAGTATCAATGATTGTTAAGTTTAAATCTAAAAATACATAGGTTTGACATGATTGAGTGGATGATTGGCCAACTGATAAATGCTCATCTTTAGTTTGATTACCAATTGATATTTCTTTTTGGACTCCATTTGTAACCATTGAAAATTTAATTGGAATTAATACTTTTATTTCACCTTTAATTGCATCTTCTAAACTATGGTATAAAGCATAGTTAACCAATGAATTGATGAATGTAGATTTACCGACACCTGGCTCTCCCAATAATAATAGAGTTAATGGTCTTGGTGGTAAGTATTTTAATTGGTCTTTTTCATTGTTTGGAAGTTGGAAATAATCATTACCATGCTTTGGTTCACAACATGGTTTTGGTGGTAAGTATTTTAATTGGTCTTTTTCATTGTTTGGAAGTTGGAAATAATCGTTACCATGCTCCGGTTCACAACATTTAAAAACACAGCTGGTTACTGGATATGAGCCACATTGACAATAAAGAGTTTTGGTGCTATATTTTAAATCTTCATCACAAATAAGACATTTCCACTCTTTTGGAACCTTTGGACAATCTTTACCGGGACACTTTAGTCTTAAAAATGGTGTATCCATAGGAGCTTTACCATTAAAATCGAAAAAAGATTCTTCAAAACGCTCAGAAAAATTTGAGAATTGGTTAATTTTGAAATTTGATAGCTTTAACTTTTGATTTATATATAGTTCAATAAATGGGACTTTAGAGGTACTATCGTTAGGTAATTTCTCTTGGTTTGGTGAAGAGTTATGAATTTCAAGATCAATGATTGCAAATTTGGTGTTTGTTCTCTTTTCATTATATTTGGTAATAAAAGTTGAAATATAAATTGGATCCCATATTTGGCTCATTGTTCTTGTTGAATTGTAGTAGTTGAGAATGTAGAGCTTACAATTATTATTTGAATTTTTGAGGATTTGAGATTTATTCATTGTCTTTGAAACAATATCAATATTTAAAGCTTTAATTTCTTTAATAAATGAAAGTTGGTTTTTAAGGTTTGCTTGATGTGATAGTTCTAAGAACTTTTTGATTCCGTTAGATGAGTATTCAGATGAAATATAGCTGGTGATACATTCTTCAAGAGATGAAATTTCTTTGGTACAACTTCTAACAGCGACTATCAATTCTGAAATTGATTTTTTAAATGTCTTTTCGTTGACTGAAACTTTATTAATAAAGTCAAAAACTGGTGATAGTTGATTGGCATTATAGTAATCTTTCATTTCTAATAGCTCTGCATAAAAACTCTTGAGCTCAAGTTGATGGGCTGCAAATTGTTCAAATTCCACTTCAATCTGATTGATTAAATCTTCTCCGATATTTTTGTAAACTCTTTCTAATCCAGCTTCAATTGATAATTGTCTTTTAACAGTTTCAATTGGAATTAGAATATATTCAACTGGTATACCTTTGCCTTTGTCGATTTTTTCTAAGTACTTTGGTATCTTTTTCATAATATTTAAAGCAGCTTCGACACTATTTGGGATTTCTTCATTGTTTGGGATAACATCACCTACAAATTTGATATTAAATTCATCAAGTATTTTTCTTTCGTTTTCTTTGAGATTTAAAGAGACATTACCATCCATGCTAAAGCAGCCACCAAATTTTTTCATAGCAGCACCTAAAGATCCAGATACCTCAGACTTATTAGCCTCGTCACTATAAATATTTTCAAATGTAACAATTACATTTGCGCCATATTTAATTCTAGTGACAATATGAGTGGCCTCGCTGTGGTTTAAGCTGTCAATATCTATTAGACTTTTAAGTGAATTTATATTAATTGAATCTAAAATGGTTTCTATCTTATAAATTAACGAACCTCTTATTACTTTTTTTTCGTTGTTATCTTCCTTTAAATATGATGCAGAGCCTGTGATATCTATTAGACCACATAAGATACTAAGCTTTAAATTGCCATCTACACCTAAACTGTTAAACTTTTCTTGTGATGAACTTGAGACAAAATATTTGTAACTTAAATTAGAAATATTAGCAGTTTGAATTTTTTCTTCTGGTATTTGATCTTTGAAAATATTTGTAGTTAAAAAACAATCTGATCTAACATCATATTGATCACCCAAAAATGCTGTTCTACCCAATGATTTTTTTATTAAAGTATTCATTTCTTTTATATAAAAAAAAAAAACAAAAAACAAACCAATATTAGTTTACATTATAAAAATATTTTGTATATATAATTATTTTATTTGTAAGGTATAATGAAATTTTAAAAAATATAAAAAAATTTAAAAATAATGTTACCTATTTTAAAAAAACAACCGTTGAGAAAAAAATAAAAAAAAACCAATGGATGGAATATATCAAATAATAAAATGATAAATAAAAATATAATATAATAATATTATTTGTAAATTTGAAAAGCTAATATGTTTTATTATAAATAAAAAAAAACAAAAATATTAATGATTGTAAATGGAAAAAAAAAAATAATATAAAAAAATTTTTTTTTTCATTTTCACAACTTAAATAAAAAAATTTCAAAAAAAATAGTGCAATTTAATGTAAAAAAATTAAATTGTACTATTTTTTTCCTATTGGTTTAAAAAATATTTTTTTATGATAAAATCTTGGAAAAATAAAAAAAAAATGGTTGTTTTTAAGAGGTATAAAAGACCCCTCAACATTAAAAACTTTTTTCACCCAAAAAATAAAAATTAATCAGGGATTATATTACTCTCAGAGATATTTGTTTAAAAAAAAAAAAATGTAGATTTACCCCCCACTCTACTATTTTTTTTTTTTTTAAAGAAACATATTTAGGGCTAAAAATAGAATAATCTTTTCCTAATTATCAAAATAATATTGTTTAAATCTATAAAACTTTTTGAACAAAATTAAAATACCAAAAATCCTTATTATCCTTTATTAATTATTATTAAAAAAAAAATTTTGAATATTTTAAAAGGGGTGTCTCAAAAAAAAATAAAAAATTTTTTATATTTATATTTTTTTTTTTTTTTTTTTTTTTTATATAAAAAAAAGTAATGCATAAATTTTTATTTCTTAACGCACCTTAACACCCCTTGCTATTTAAAATATATTTTTTAGAGTGCCCAGAAAATATATGCAGACCCTTTATCATTATAGAGTAAATATTTTTTACAAATTATATTTTTAATATCATGATGAATTCCTTCAAAACTCCAAAAAAAAAAAACTAAAAAAAAAAAAAAAAACTCAAAAGTTCTAACTTTTTTTTTTTTACATATAAAATTTTTGTAAATTTGACAGTTTTTGGTTTTTTCAAATTTTTTAATGCACAAATTTTATTTTCACCATTTTTTTTAAAGTGGTGATTTTAATGCATTAGTAAATAAAGGTTGCCCAAAACCTGAAAAGAATAACAATGTAGAGATTGAAGATGAAGGAGATGAAGATGGATGAAAAAGAAAAAGAAAAATAAAAAAATAAAAAAGAAATAAATGTAGCGGTCACCAGATCAAAAAGTAAATAAAAAAATGATAATTTAAATTATAAATTATAAAATTTTATAAAATGTTAGTCTAATTATTTTATTGTTATTTTAAAGTGGATTTTATTAATAGTTATAAAGATTATGAAAAAATGATTGGTATTAGTTTTGATAGTTTTAATGATCTATATAATAAAATAAACGAAAAAATAATTTCGGTTAATAATGGGAGAAATAAACTATACGATCTAAAAGAAAGAGTATTCATATGTTTATTTTATTTAAGAAATTATACCAGACCTATTGTAATTAAAATTTTATTTGGTATAAGTGATAGTACTTTAGAAAGATACTTCCAAGAATTTTTAGACATTGTTTCACCTTTGGCAATGGATAATTTTAAAAGTTATTTTAATAATAGAAAGGATAATAGCAATAAAGTAGAATTCATGTACCATTCAAATCATACTTTTGCAACAATGGTGGTTGATGGTTCAGAACAACAAATTAGTATTCCAAGTGATAAAGATATTAGAAATTTATTATATAGTGGTAAAAAATGTAAATCAACTTTAACTCTATTGGTTTATTGTTGCCCTAAGAGTGGAAAGGTATTGCACATTGGTTTTCTTGCAGGTGGTTGTAAAAATGATAATAACTTATTTAAAAAAGATCGTGAATTTATTGATTCATTAGACAGTGTACTTGAAACAATTGTTGCTGATAAGGGATTTCGTGGATTAAAAAAAGTTTATAATAACACGTGTGTTATTGAAGCAGGTCGTAAAAACACAAAATATAACAAACAACAAGAAAAAATTCAAATCAGTCAGGATTATTATCGAAAATGTATTTGCAAGAATTAAAAGATTTTCAATTACAAGCAATTCTTTAAGATATAAATTTAAACAAGGAACTTTTCATATTGATAATGTTTTAAAAAAACATCATATGATATGGTGTATTGTTGCATTTTTAGTTAATTGTTATTCAGAAATTAGAAATAATATCATCGAGGACAACGAATTATTAATTGAATAGTTAAAAAAAAAAATTAATGCATATAAAATAAAAATTAAAAAAATTAAAAAAACCCCAAAAAACAACCAAATTACAAAAAAATTTATATGTAAAAAAAAAAAAAGTTTTTTTGAGTTTTTTTTTTTTTTTTTAGTTTTTTTTTTTTTTTTTTGTTTTTTTTTTTTTGGAGTTTTGAAGTTAGAATTTTAATCAATAATTAAAAAAAAAAATATTAAAAAAAAAAAGTCAAAAAATATAAAATTTTTTTTTAAAAATAAAAACAAAAACAAAAAAAAATCATTTTAGAATTTTCTCACTAAATTTTAAAATAACAATATTTTTTTATTTCTCCCTTCCAATTTTTTTTTTATTATTAATTTAATAATTAAGAGTTACAAAAACTTTAAAAATAATAAAAAGAAATATATATAAACAAAATGAAATTAAGTGATGAAATTCGATACTCAATATTTACAAATAAAAAATGGGGATTATTTCTCAAACCCTAAAAATATGTAATAAATCATTGGTAGAAAATATTAGAAATAGTGGAATAAACAATTTCAATTAATGAAACTTATTCCCAGGCATACGATATTCAAAACAAAGATTGTTATAATGTTAATTATTTAAATTTAAAAAGAATGTATTTATTTTTCTTTTGGTCTAATTACAATTGGTTTGTAGTTTGAGGTCATTTGATCAGTCTCATTACCTTCAATGTGAAGTTTTAATGTTGGACCATTGATCGGAAGTTTCTTTAATTTTTCAATTAATACAGGGACTTGGTCGACAGTAATTAATTCACTACAGTTGCTTACGGCGGGTTGTAAAATTCTATTTTGTTCTTCAAAAATTAATAAATTCTTTTTGAGTGATTTTTTATAAGTTCTATCTGTCATAGGATCTACAGTTTTGATACACATTTTCAAATATTCAATTACAGTATCGACATAGCCAGTAATTGAATTTTCTTTTAAAAAGAATGAAAGCTTGGAAATAATATTTTTTATTTCTATTTTTTCTTTGTTGTTTGCTTCGATTTCTTTTTGTATTTCAATAATTTCCTTTTTCCTGTGTTGAATGTTGTTGGTGACTTTATCGATCTGATTTTTAATGGTGGGATTTTCTATTGTCTTGGTGACAGGATAGGTTTCGTATGTAATAAGAATATGACTAGTGTAGTGGCATGAGAACTTATATTGACGAATATTTTTAGTCACTTTTATCTATAGCCCAACAATTTTTTAAGTTGTCAGATTTGTACATAAAGGCTGGACCAGCGTCATAACAACCAACGTGGCATCTTTGGGCATAGTGAATGATTTCATTACCATCTTCATCCTTACTAATTTTTACACAAGTAAGGTTTGTACAAACAGTGGTTGGTTGATCTAAATATCTTCTTTCTACATTCCAATTCACTATTGTCGTCTTCAATTTCAAAGGTTTTAACTTTAGTTTCGATCATTTGTGTAATTTCGACAATTGGTCTCCCAATAATAATAGAGTTAATGGTCTTGGTGGTAAGTATTTTAATTGGTCCTTTTCATTGTTTGGGAAGTTGGAAATAATCGTTACCATGCTCTGGTTCACAACATTTATAAGAACAGCTGGTTACTGGATATGAACCACATTCACAATAAAGAGTTTTGGTGCTATACTTTAAATCTTCATCACAAATAAGACATTTCCACTCTTTCGGAACCTTTGAACAATCTTTACAGGGGCACTTTAGTCTTAAAAATGGTGTATCCATTGGAGCTTTATAATTAAAATTGAAATCAGTTTCTTTAAAACGCTCAGCAAAATTTGAGAAATGGTTAATTTTGAAATTTGATTGCTTTAGCTTTTGATTAATATATAGTTCAATAAATGGGACTTTAGATGTACTATCATTAGGTGATTTCTCTTGGTTTGGTGAAGAGTTATGAATTTCAAGATCAATGATTGCAAATTTTGTGTTTGTTCTCTTTTCATTATATTTGGCAATAAAAGTTGAAATATAAATTGGATCCCATGTTTGGCTCATTGTTCTTGTTGAATTGTAGAAGTTGAGAATGTAGAGCCTACAATTATTATTTGATTTTTTGATGATTTCAGATTTATTCATTGTCTTTGAAATAATATCAATATTTAAAGCTTTAATTTCTTGAATAAATGAAAGTTGGTTTTTAAGGTTTACTTGATGTGATAGTTCTAAGAACTTTATGATTCCGTTAGATGAGTATTCAGATGAAATATAACTAGTGACACATTCTCCAAGAGATGAAATATCTTTGGTACAACCTCTAATAGCTACTATCAATTCCGAAATTGATTTTTTAAATGTATTTTCTTTGGCTGATACTTTATTAATAAAATCAAAAACTGTTGAAAAATCATTGATGTTATAGTAATCTTTCATTTTTATCAGCTCGTCATAAAAACTCTTTAATTCAAGTTTATGGGCTACTAATAGTTCAAATTCCACTTCAATCTGATTGATTAAATCTTCTCCAATATTTTTGAAAACTCTTTCTAATCCAACTTTGATTGATAATTGTCTTTGAACAGTTTCAATTGGAATTAGAATATTCAACTGGTATTCCTTTGCCTTTGTTAACTGTTTCTAAGTACTTTGGTATCTTTTTCATAATATTTAAAGCAGCTTCGACACTATTTGGGATTTCTTCATTGTTTGGGATAACATCACCTACAAATTTGATTTTAAATTCATCAATTATTTTTCTTTCGTTCTCTTTTAGAGTTAAAGAGACATTACCATCCATGCTAAAGCAGCCACCAAATTTTTTCATAACAGCACCTAAAGATCCAGATACCTCAGACTTGTTTGCCTCATCACTATAAATATTTTCATAATGTAACAATTACATTTGCGCCATATTTAACTCTAGTGACAATATGAGTAGCCTCGCTGTTGTTTAAGCTGTCAATATCTATTGGACTTTCGAGTGTATTTATATTGATTGAATCTAAAGTGGTTTCTATCTTATAAATTAACGAACCTCTTACTACTTTTTTTTCGTTGTTATCTTCCTTTAAATATGATGCAGAACCGGTGATATCTATTAAACCACATAAGATACTAAGCTTTAAATTGCCATCTACACCTAAGCTGTTAAACTTTTCTTGTGATGAACTTGAGACAAAATATTCGTAACTTAAATTAGAAACATTTGCAGTTTGAGTTTTTTCTTCTGGTATTTGATCTTTGAATATTTGTAGCTAAAAAACAATCTGATCTAACATCATATTGATCACCCAAAAAAGCTATTCTACCTAATGATTTTTTTATTAAAGTATTCATTTCTTTTATAAAAAAATAAAAAACAAACCAATATTAGTATACATTTGTATATATAATTATTTTATTTGTAAGGTATAATGAAATTTTAAAAAATAAAAAAAAATTTAAAGAAAATAATGTTACCTAAAAAAATCAATAAAAAATCAATGGAATCAGTAATATAATGATAAATAAAAATATAATATTATAATATATTATTTGTAAATTGAAAAGCAATATGTTTTATTATGAATAAAAAAAAACAAACATTAATGATTATTAATGGAAAACAAAAAATTATATTATAAATTTTTTTTTTCATTTTCACAACTTATTATAAAAAAAAAATTTCTAATAATAATTTTTTTTTTTATTGGTTAATATTTTTTTTATGATAAAATCCTGGAAAAATAAAAAAATGGGTTATTTTTAAGAGGTATAAAAGACCACCCAACACTAAAAACTTCTAATTAATAGGGATTATATTACTCTCAGAGATATTTGTTTTAAAAAAAAAAATGTAGATTTACCCCCACACAATTTTTTTTTTTTTTACCAAAGAAACATATTTAGGGGCTAAAAATAGAATCTTTTCCTAATTATCAAAATAATATGGTTTAAATCCATAAAACTTTATTAACAAAATAATATTCCTTTATTAAATATTATTAAAATAAAATAATTTGAAACTATTTTTAAAAATAAATTATTTTTTTGGTCTCTTCAAGTGTTTCCTCATAATTTGTGTATTAGCTGATCTACAAGAAACATAATGATGGTTAATGTTTCAAATTGATAGTAAAAACTCAAAGAAATAAACGAACAGGTTTGTTGTAAAATAAATGGTTTAATAAAATAAAAAATAAATAAAAAATAAATAAAAAATAAAAAAAATAAAAAAATAAAATTTTTTATATTTTTTCAAAAATATTGGGCAAATTTTTGAAAATATAATTTGTAAAAAATATTTACTCTATTATAATAAAGGGTCTACATATATTTTCCAAGCACTGCAAACAATAGAGAAAGCAATAATATTTCAATAGATACACCTCCAATTAATACTTTAGATTATCACTTTACTAAAGATGTATATACACCAAAAACATTAAATAAGAACTGATATAGATATGTAATTGAATAGTTTTATATGTAGAAATAATTTACCATTTATAATTTCAAATGATAAATATACATTATATCTAATATGGTAAGTAATGTTATATACAATTTTTTAAATAAAAAATTTTAATTTTTTATTAACCAGTTATTATTTTTTTAATCATCAGAAAATCAATTAAATAATGTCACTTGTGTACCAGAAAAGGAACAACCGTTCAAATTTGGGGCGGGATAGAATAGAACAATGTGTTTTGTTATAAAAATGGAACAACATTTCATTGAGTAGATATTATCGAAAACTCTGTCTTTTATGAATATTATAAAATTTCACAAATTGGATGATTAAATTACAAATAAAATTAATGTGTACCAGAATTTTAAATTTTTTTATATGAATTTTTTCTTTTTTAGTTATATAGTTTTTAAAATAAAAAAATAGTCCAGTGTGGGGGTAACTTAACATTTTTATTTTTATAAATTCTAAAATTATTTATTAAATTTTTAAAAATTATTTGTCCAAAAATAAATTAAAAAAGAATGTATTTATTTGAAGTAAAAATATGATTTAAATTTGTTATATAAATTTTCTATTGGTTTAATTACAATTGGTTTGTAGTTTGAGGTCATTTGAGCAGACTCATTACCTTCAATGTGAAGCTTTAATGTTGGACCATTGATTGGAAGATTCTTTAATTTTTCAATTAATATAGGGACTTGGTCGACAGTAATTAATTCATTACAATTGCTTACGGCGGCCTGTAAAATTCTATTTTGCTCTTCAAATATTAATAAATTCTTTTCAAGTGATTTTTTATTTGTTTTATCTGTCTTGTAATCTTCAGTTTGGATACACATTTTCAAATATTCAATGACAGTATCGACATAGCCAGTAATTGAATTTTCTTTTAAAAAAAATGAAAGTTTTGAACTAATATTTATGATTTCTGTTTTTTCTTTGTTGTTTGCTTCGATTTCTTTTTCTAATTCAATAATTGCTTCTTTTTTGAGTTGACAGCTGTCGGTGGCTATATTTATCTGATCTTTAATGGCGGCATTTTCTAAAGTCTTGGTGACAGGATATGTTTCATATGTAATATGCATATGACTAGTGTAATGGCATGAGAACTGACATTCAGTGCACTTTAAGTCGCTTTTTCCAATAGCACAACAATTTTTTAAGTCAGCAGAGTTCTTTGTGTTGGTTGGACCTTTAATTTGGCAACCAACGTGGCATCTTTGAGCATAGTGAACGATTTCATTACCATCTTTACCCGTTATAACTTTTATACAAGTAGAGTTTGTACAGACTGTGGTTGGTTCATCTAAATCTCTTCTTTCTACATCATCATATTTTATTATTAATTTCTTTTTAAGAGATTCTAAATCACTATTGTCATCTTCAATTTCCTTTTTTTTGGTTGTAATAGTTTTGACTTTAGTTTCAATCATTTGTGTAATTTCGACAATTGGTCTTGTTAGAGCATAGATTAGTCTTCTTGATTCATTAAGACTTGTAGTGTTTCTGATATTGTGTGGTGGTAACAAGTTAAGATATGATATTAAATTGTTGGTTGATGTAACAGAGGTTTTCCAGCTATTTGAGAAATCTTTAATTTGATCTTCGCCGAACTGGACATCATTTTTAAGAGCTGCAAGGAATCTGAATGATTCACTATCAAAGCAGAATGTGTTTGAAGATGTATACTTGAGATCTGGGACATTTAAACTTTGAACCATTTTTGAAATCTTTGGATGTGAGTCACCTGGTTGGTAAAAAGTTGAACGTGAATTTGTGTAACAAAATACAATGTTTTTAGCTGCATTTTTATTAAGTTGTGATAATAAACCTTTGAAACAATAGGTTGAAACTACAGTTTCTCTTGCTTCGTTTGGTTTTAAAAGAATACAAATACCATCAATTGTATCAAATCTTGAGATATAGCTAAGAATGTGTTCAAAATTTGCTTTATCTTGATCAACACCTCTTACATCACCAATACCTGGAGTATCAATGATTGTTAGATTTAAATCTAAAAATATATAGGTTTGACATGATTGAGTTGATGATTGGCCAACTGATAAATTCTCATTTTTAGTTTTATTACCAATTGATATTTCTTTTTGGACTCCATTTGTAACCATTGAAAATTTAATTGGAATTAATACTTTTATTTCACCTTTAATTGCATCTTCTAAACTATGATATAAAGCATAGTTAACCAATGAATTGATGAATGTAGATTTTCCGACACCTGTCTCTCCTAATAATAATAGAGTTAATGGTCTTGGTGGTAAGTATTTTAATTGGTCCTCCTCACTGTTTGGAAGTTTAACATAATCGTTACCATGCTCTGGTTCACAACATTTAAAAGTACAGCTGGTTACTGGATATGATCCACATTGACAATAAAGAGTTTTGGTGCTATACTTTAAATATTGATTACAAACAAGACAAATAAACTCTTTTGGAACCTTTGGACAATCTTTACCGGGACACTTTAGTCTTAAAAATGGTATGTCCATTGGAGCTTTACCATTAAAATTGAAACCAGTTTCTTCAAAACGCTCAGAAAAATTTGAGAATGGGTAAATTATGAAATTTGATTGCTTTAGCTTTTGATTGACATAGATCTCAACAAATGGGACTTTTGAGGTACTATCATTGGATGAATTCTCTTGGTTTGGTACTATGTTATGCATTTCAAGATCAATGATTGCAAATTTTGTTTTTTTTCTCTTTTCATTATATTTGGTAATAAAAGTTGAAATATAAATTGGATCCCATGTTTGGCTCATTGTTCTTGTTGAATTGTAGTAGTTGAGAATGTAGAGCTTACAATTATTTTTAGATTTTTTGATGACTTGAGATTTATTCATTGTCTTTGAAACAATATCAATATTTAAAGCTTTAATTTCTTGAATAAATGAAAGTTGGTTTTTAAGGTTTGCTTGATGTGATAGTTCTAAGAACTTTTTGATTCCGTTAGATGAGTATT